AAACTGACGTTTTCCCGGCAGATTGATCACCAACAACAACAACTCTAGGAAGATTATCTGCTGTTCCATAAGAAGAATCATATTCAATGAGAATATCGAGCATATCGGAATATAGTTCAATAAGAGAACGCTAAAAAATTTCGAATGAATTTAAAAAAATAAAAATACATATTAAATTAGAAAAGTTAAAAAGGGACGGAAAGGAAAAATACTCACAAGGGAGAGCGTAGCCTATTATGTTTCAGGGTTTTTTTTGGCTCCGACCCCCAAATCAAAAAGTTATAGGGATCCAAAGTTATCATCTTTTGGAGCGGTGAGTCTCACTCATTGAGTCTCGCCCATCCCTTGTCACGTTGCCAAACCTAACCCTAAAATAAAAATAACGTAGTCGATAACGTCACCACTACACCAAGAAAACTTCTACCAGAAAAAAGTTGGCTACTTAATTATGAAGAATTAGGCGTAGTTAATAAAAAAAATAAGTCAAATAAGCACTATTAACCGAGCTGACAAGGGAACATGCCAAACTGTGAGTCAAAATTTTGTATTTTTTTGGTACCAATCGATAGAGCATCATCGATTTACTTTAGAAAATTTCCAGCTTTTTTGGCTAGGAACATGAAACGAAAAAGTAATGGGGCTTCAAAGTTAGGCAAAAATGGGGTAGAAAAGGAACATCGATTGATACCAAAAAATACAAAATTTTGACTCAAAGTTTGGTATGTTCCCTTGTGAAGCCTAAACCCCTGTCTTCCTCCTCTCAACCAAAATTTACAAAAAATAAAAATTAAAAAAAAACCTTAATTTTCTTTTGCCTTTTCAATTCTCCCGCGTCTTTCAGCAATATTCTCTGTTTCAAAACTTTATTTTCCTTTTCAAGCAGTTCAAGTTCTCTTTGATATTGAAGCTATTAAAGAGGGGAAATTTAAAAAGATTTTTGTTTCAAAAATAAAAAAAATATTAAACCTGAGTTTTAAGCAAATCTTCTTGCAATTTTTGTATTCTTTCTGTTTCAGTCATCTAAAATTAAAAAAAATTTTTAAATTAATTTAATCTTGAAATTAAGCCACCCTTTTTTACAATTTCTCCTAATCTTTTCGACAAACACAAAAACATGGAGCCAAAATATATAAAATATGCTTGAAATATCCAGAAAAGCTTTTGCATTTGTGTCAAGCAAAAATTTCCCGGACAGGAAATTAAAGTGAAGATCAAACAAGCCTTCAGCATCGATAACCTCAGCCTGGGAGAATTTTGATTTTATACTTGTTTGATCTTCATGCAAAAACAGACCAAAAAAGACCGGGCAATATTTTATGAATTAATCCGTGAGAAATATTCTAAAGATGCAAAAAATTACGGACTTGGGACACGACGTCCGGGAGGGTTCAACACCGAAACTAGTGGAGAAAAAATGTCACAAGATTCTAAATAAATTTTGTAAAAAATACCTCAGACATTTTTGCATCTTCTTCAGAATCGATAACCTCAGCTTTGGAGAATTTTGATTTTATACGGGAAAGGAGAGAACTGCCACCCTCACCAGCGCTGCTGTCGCTTCCTGGAACGTCTAAAAAATTTATTTTTAATTTCACGATAAATAAAGTTCTTTTATGAAAAGACAACAGATTTAAAGGACCCATCCAGAAACCTTTAGAAGAGCCCTCAAAAAAATTAAATTAAAAACCGTTCTGCGTTGACGCCTCAAATGACGAGTCCATACGTTCACTCGCCCCACTTGTAGAGTCAATTGAGACACCTGATACGTTTGCCAAAATGTAGGGAGGTGCAAAAACAGACCAAAGAAGACCTTCTCCTTTATGCTCATTCAATTGCCAAAGACGCTCCAACTCTTGCCGAAAATTTAAACCTTTAAATTTCGGGCTAAATTTGTCAAAAGTTGAGGCAATGTGTTCATATTTGGCCCAAGCAGGGAAATCTGGCAACGATTTTTTGAGATCATCTATCCACTGAAAAAAAATTTTTAAAGCAAAAAAAAAAAGAAAGAAAATCAAACGTTTGCAGTAGTTATACCACCAGCAGCAGCTCCTCCAATTAACCAATAACGCAACTTTAAGGCATGTCTAATCAAGGCTGCCATAATTTTCCACAGACAATAAATGAAAAAAATTTTCTAAAATTTTTTCAGTCTAAAATAGAAGAAAATTCAACCAAAAAAAGCAGAAAAATTTTCAAGGAGGGACACGCCCAAAACGGCGCGCGACCATAACGGCGCACAGCCAAAACTTGCTTCAAGTTGTCCGAATCTTACCAAATTTAGTATTAAACGATTCCTCTCATCGAGATAAAGAGATTGGTACCAAAATTGTCAAGGGCCAGAAATTTTCCACCAAGTTAAGGCTTTGCGCCGTTAAGCCCGCGCCGTTTTGGGCTGTACGCGTTTAAGAATGCCCCACTTAATCGCGAGATTTTCAAGTATATCCAACTAAAAACCAAAGCTTTCCTTTTTAGCTTTCTTAAAATGATTGAAATCACAGTCAATGACCGATTGGGTAAGAAAGTGCGCGTGAAATGTAAGTCAAAATTTTTCAACTTAAAAAAAATTTTTTTTCTAGGCAATGCTACAGATAAAATTAAAGATCTTAAAAAACTTATTGCACTACAAACTGGAACAAGGCAAGCTGTAAATTTCTCTTTTCTCTCTAAAAAATCTTTTTTAGAGCAGACAAGATCGTCCTCAAAAAGTGGAACATTATTTACAAGGACGATATTTCTCTACAAGATTATGAAATACATGACGGATTTAATTTTGAGTTGTATTATCAATGATTTTTTTCTCTCAAAAATGTTTTTAATTGATAAAGCCGTCTTTTTCTCTAACTTTCTCTCCTCTTTTTACACGCTAACTTATCCGGGTGGGGTACGGCCCACTTAGTCGCGGGCCACTTAGTCGCGACCACTTAGTCGCCGGCCACTTAGTCGCAGGCCCACTTAGTCGCAGGCCACTTAGTCGCGAAGGTACTTTTTTTCAGGTCACTTAAAACTTAAACCAAAGGTAATATCGAGGGATTTGGATGTGATATCGAGGGATTGAGTAGTGTAAAGTAGATATAGAGATTGGATATCTGGGGATTTGGCCTTCCAAAACTTGGCATTTCTCACTTGGCCTTCCTAAATCACAAAATTTTCGCCTGCGGCGCTAAAGAGGAATGAAGAATATTTTTAAAAATTTGCATGGATTAATGGGATTTGGAGTGAGATCTGTTGGGATTAGAGCTGCGTCGAAACAAAAAAATTTTCGAAAATCGGAACTGGAAAATCAAAAGAAATCAAAAATCTTGGAACCGAATATCGAAATTTTATGAAAAAATTCGAAAATACGAAATTCCGGTTCCGGGATACGGAACTCACTGGATCCGGTTCCGGTTCCGGTCAACATATCGGTTCCGGTGCAACACTGCATTTTAGCTACTTCGCGACTAAGTGGCCTGCGACTAAGTGGGCCTGCGACTAAGTGGTCGCGACTAAGTGGTCGCGACTAAGTGGCCTGCGACTAAGTGTCCGTGTCCCATCCGGGTGTGGCTACAAGTCCACTTAATCGCGGGCCTAAAACTTTTGGAAACAACGAGGAGGTATCATTCGACAACTAGACAAATATCTTAAAGAATTAAAATATGAAAAAAAATTTTTTAATTGGTGTAAAATCACTTTCAAAAACACTTTCATCCCCCTTTTATAGCACATTTGAGGCAGCCCGATTAGTCGCGGGCCAAATAATCGTAGATCTTTGGCGAAATGTTTAAAAATATTAAAAAATGACATTTTGTCCCAGCACATCCAAATAATCGCAGAAAAACAGTGAAGAAATTAGAGTCCGGCAAAATCGCATTCCCAGGATCCCGGAACGGGATTTTTTCAAAATTTTGTACGGGACGGGATCCCGCGGGATTAATCCCGTAAATCCCGTTTTCCGCGAAAACCCCGGGATTCCGGGAAGGGATCCCGTAAAATCCCGTGCGGGGTCCCGTCCCGTGCCGGACTCTAGAAGAAATTATAACTAGTTGTAAAATGTTCAGGGAAATCAGTCCAAATATGAAGAAGATGCCGAATTTCTAAAAATTTTAGGACACAAAACTAATTAGGGCCCAAAAACTGTCGTACAAATGGCCATTCTGAGACGTATTTTTATCCATCTAATAAAATAGCGTTGGAAGAGATGAGAGACATTAGAGAAAAAGGGGAAATTGGAAATTTTTATGAACCGTTTAATGAGGATTTTTATTTATTTTTTAATTTATTCGGGTGAATCATCTTAATGTTTTTGTCATAATTCAAACGTGTTAGGTAGGGTTGCCGTTTTCGAGTCGGGCCGACGGTCGAGGCATTTTTTTTTCGGGCTTGTTTTTATCGAGTCGGGCCGATACGAGTCTTTTTCGGGCCTAACTTTATCGAGTCAGGCCGGTACGAGACTTTTTCGGGCCAAACATCGAGACCTGACTCGATCTTTCGGTCCGAGTCGGTCCATTTTGGCAACCCTAGTGTTAGGGAACATTTTGGTTAAAACTTTGAGGTTTTAGGGCGATTTACTAGCGATTTTGCTTTCAAATGATGGTTCAGAAGCTGTCTGGTCCAGGCAAACACTTGCGAGGTTTGAAGTTCAGTCCTAGGCTTCTGATTGATTAATTTGAATGACCTGAGGGCTGTCGGGGAAAAGAGTTTAGTCTCCTTTTGCCTTCTCTTGTTTTTTCCATGATTGCAGGTTTTCGATCCAGCCTACGCCTACTTGGTCAAAACCTGTAATTTTTAACTCTTTCCATTTCTGGATATAAAATCCTTAACATTTTCCTTCCCCCTCTGAATTTACTTTATTTAACTATTTAAAGAGGTCTTTTAAACAACCATAAAAAGGGTGTTTTTCTTCTATTCCCGCGTTGTTTGGGCTTGAATATTCCTCTTCTGTTTAAAAGACCCCTTTAAACTATAAATTCTTTTTTTTAGATCTTTTAGACAATTTTATTTTAAAAAATAAAAAAATTTTATTATGGTTCGTTATATGCAAACCTCTAGACGTGGAACCAAACGAAATTCTAAAGAAGCAGCTAAATCCGAGTCGAAACGTTCAAGAAAGTCAAAGGCGGTTATTGATGAATCCAACTCTTCCTCTCAGGATTGGAGTGTGAATACTTCGAACATCCACATCAATCAACTTCCTTCACATGTTTTGGTTTGTTAAATAGAGCTTTAAGATTTTTAAAAATCTGGGGGTTCTTGTAGCCGCCAATATTGGTGCTGACCCAATTTCTGTAAATTGGGCGTTTTCTTGTCAGCTTTCCGTATTTTTAAAGCCTTTTCGATTTGCCTTGTATCCACAGTAGAGATCGGTATTTTTGAAAGCCTGGGCTGGGTTCTGGGTTTGTTTTATTAACTTGGGCCGGATCCTGGGCCTGTAGTTCAGGAAAAACCCAGTAAGGTCAAAAAATGCCTGGGCATGGACTCTGGGTACAAGAATAACCCGGGTCTTGGTCCAGATCCAGGCTGATCTCTAGTCCTTTCAGAAAGAATCTGAATAAAAGTTACCCATCTTCTAGTCAGATGGAGGCACAGTCGTTGTGCTCATGTTTGAGTCCCTTCCATTATGGTCCTATTCCTATTTAATGAAATGCTAAGGTAGCCGGTTCAGGGTATCCAGAACCGTGATAACCTTGACACCATTAAATTTTCGGCAGGTTATAGGTTTTGGATACCCGGATACCGGTCCCAGGAGCCGCCAACCTTTAAAAATGGTCAGCAAAACGAAGGACTTTTCAAAATCCCCAAAGTTTTAAAAATTCCTTCAAAAAAACTTTATAGGGCAAAATCTTTTCAAATTTGAATACAATTGATCATCTTCGAATCGAAAAGATTTGTAGACATTGGAGGCAAATTGCTATTTCCTATAGTTGGGACAATTATGAAATGATATCTTATTCACAAGTTTTCCAAGACTGTCCAGCTTCAAAGGTTACAATGTGTATGAAGGTTACCAATCGACACGTAAATTTTTTAATTTTTTAGACATTTAAGGCTCTAGCCTTATATCATTCCTTTGAATAAAGTTTTGGGCATTTTATAGATGATGTAGTATTTTTGCGGACTAGTTTATTTGCGGACAAATTTTTTGCGGATACTTTTTGCGGACTATTAGTCAAGGTTTTTTCCCCTCTTTTTTATCTTTGGTTTTTGACACCCAGTCAATACAGTCTTAAAATTATGTAAGAAGGAGGATGGAATGATGAAGGCTTATGTTTAAAAAATCAGCGAAAATCCGGAACTTTTCTTTTACATGTCCCAAAAAATTGTCTTCATTCTCATAATGTGCTTTACTAGAATTTTGATGATTTTAGGGTATCCTCTTATTTTTTTGTGATAATCTACCTTTAGCTAAGTTACCTTCTTCAATTTTGTATTTTTCCTTAAGTTCCGTCAGCAATTTTCTCAAAAAAAATTTTTGCGGACAAAACTTGCGGACTTTTTTTTTCTCTCTATCATTTTATTTTTTTAGATTCAAATTATTATGAAGCGTGCCCGTCATCATTTAAAAGTCATCGATTTGGTTGGTTTCCGTCTTGATCCAAAATTAAATTATTCAATTTGCTCATCTTTAAAAATTGTTCCAAGTGTGCATACTTTATATTTTGACTATATGCAATTGACAAATTCTTCTCTTTCTTTAATTGGACGTCATTTACCGAAACTTAAACATTTGTCTTTTCGGAATTGTTTTAAGGTTTTTTTTTGAATTTTTTGATTAAAAAATTTTTGCGGACAAGACTTGCGGACAAAAAATTTTTTGCGGACAAAACTTGCGGACAAAAAAATTTTTTGCGGACAAGACTTGCGGACAAAAATTTTTTTAATTTTTAGCACACAAATATGGAGAAAGGTCTTACCAAGCTTTTTTCATCTTGCCAATCTTTGGAGTCTTTAAATGTTAGCGAAAATGAAATACTTAAAGGAGATTGTTTTGAAGAGCTACCAAAGACGATTAAAAAGCTGAATATTTCTTGGTATATTTTTTTTAATTTTTTTGCTTTTTAAATGCATTCCTATTGGGAGACCCACGAGGATTAGGATTTGCAGACATATAGAGAGTTCATTTTTTCTGAGTTTTTTTATTTGGACCAGAGCCCTCGTCTTTCTATTTTTGAAGGTTGGGCCAGAGATGGGACGAGGTGTCCTAGACCTCATAGTACCAGCAAGCCTGGCCTACAGTCTTTTTTTCCGATCCGAAATTGGAAAACCTGTTTAAATTTGAACCCCGATCCGAAATGCTTTGGGTTTTTCTTAATCTGTCTCATTCCTGTCTTGGGCTTTGGTAAACAGATAAAATTAATCCCTCTATTAGGGTTGTCGTTCTTTTAGGAGAATCTTTGAATAGCCTTAACTGAATTGAAAAATCCTTGGGTCTTCTATATTTCCTTATTAACATCCCTACTTTATACTTGTTTTTTTAAAAATTTTTTAATTTTTGCAGTTGTTTTCGTTTAAAATCTGCTGCAGTTAGTGGAATTCAAGCAAATTGTACAAATTTAGAAACTTTAATTATGGATCAAGTAGATACTATACAAACACAACAAATGAATAATATTTTTATGGCTTTAAAAAAGTTTGAATTTTTTTTATTTCATTAAAGTAAATGCTTCTTTTAAAGCTTAACTGTGCTTCATTTTTCTGAATGTTATGGAACTGGTTTAATTTTTTTTATTTAAATTTTTTTAATTTTTTCAAATTAAAAATCTTTTAATATTTTCTTTTCCCCAATTCTTTCTTTTTGGGTTTAAAATCAGAGAAATGTCACAGGGGGTACCCTAAACCTCCAATAAATTTTTCCGATTCGAACCCCAACCTTATCTTTTTTTTTTCTCCTAAGGAAGCTCTTACCCTATTTCTTTCATTTCTATTCATTTTTCGATCTAAAAAATGATTTCAATTGACATTTTCGGTTTTAAATTGTAGTAAGGTTTTCAGAATGGGAAAAAACTTTTAAAATCCCGTTGATTTTTTTATTTAAAAAAATTTTTGTTTTTCAGAATTTTATGAAGGTCAACCTAATTTAACTGCGTTAAGCAATCTTACCCATTTACGCGAAATGCATGTTAGTGACAATTTGTTAATTAATAATGATGTTCTTCGAGCTATTGGTTTTTTTTTGAAATTTTTTTAGAAGGGAAAAAGAAAAGTTTTTTTCTTTTTAGGCCAAGGCTGTCGTGCTTTGCAACTTTTAAATTTGTCAATGTCTAATCGTGCGGTTACTGATACGGGTTTACGCCATTTGGCAGCATTAAGTTCGCTTAATGAATTACGCTTAACTGGACATAGAGCTTTGACTGATGAAACTCTCATTGAAATTGCTAATCAGGGAAAGTTGAAGGTAAGGGAAAACATGTTTTTTTCGAATTCTGATTTTTGTTTGGGGTGTTTTCTGGTTTTTATTTTGTTCGTTTTAAATTCTGGTTTTTGTCGGTTATTTGTTTTGTTTTTTGAAAGTTTTGTGTTTTTATTAAAAATTCTGATTTTTATGTTGTTTTTAAATTCTGATTTTTGTTTGGTGTTTATTTGTTTTTATTAAATTCTGATTTTGTTTGGAGTGTTTTGTTTTATTTGTTTTCCAATATTCTGGTTTGTTTAAATATTCTGTTTATCTGTGTTTTTATTTGTTTTTATTAAGTTCTGATTTTATTTAATTCTGATTTTTGTTTTAATTTTATGTTTTTCTTAAATTCTGATTTTTGTTTGGTTTGTTTTTTTAATATTCTGATTTTGTGTATGTTTTTAAAAAATTCTGGTTTATGTAGGGATGTTTATTTTTTTGTGTTTTTATTTGTTTTTATTAAATTCTGATTTTAATTTTTTTCTTCTTTAAGATTCTTGGACTAGGTAAATGCATTAACATAAGCAACATGTCTGTTATTATGGTTATTAGAAACTGCAAGGTGAACAAAAAAATTTTTTTTTGATTTTTAAAATTTTTTTAAAGGAATTGAAAACACTTGATGTCTCCTACTGTCCAAATGTTACACAAGTTATTTTTAAAGAATTGGACAAACAAATGTTAATTCGTTATGGACGTTCAAATCCATCAACAACAAATTCCAATAATGACGTCAAAAAATTCAATTTATTAATTTCACGTTCTGGGGCTCATGGCTGTATTCCACAAAAATATTCTCCTTGGATTAAAATTGTTGATCATTATGAAAGTGATGCAGGTGGAAGTGGTGGAGGTCCTTTGGGTATTGGGAATTTAACTCCAGGAATGTTGGTTGCTCGGTGAGAAATTTTTCTTTTCAAAAAAAATTTTTTTAGGATTTTTTTACTTGAGATTAGCTTAGAAATGGCCAGGGTTACATGGAAACTTGAAATCTAAATTTTTTGACCCGATATCCGAACTCTCTTTTTTCAATTTGGACATATCCCTGGTCCAATTTAGGTGTCTCAGAAGCTTTTGACGTTCCAAGAAAAATTGTATGAGTCCATGAGATTCCCTTAAAGCTTCTAGTACAGCCTGTCCAAGTCCGTAAAATTTTCCATGCTTTAAGACCATGAGCCTTCCAACTCTTCAAAAATTATTTTGATTTTATTACTAGTTGCTAACATAAGCAAGAAAAAAAATTTTTTCTATAAAAATTTTTTCAATTTTTCAGTATTTTGCATCTTCCACACGCTCTTATAAGAGAACTTCACCCGGTTTAAAAAACAAAAGATTTGTTTATTTAAAAGAAAAAAAGAAGCTTTCTCTCTCTAAAGAATATATTTGTTTAAAAAGTGCATTATTATAAGCACAAAATATTTTTAATAAATAAAAAATTTGAGCTGAAAAAATTTTTGAAAAAATAAATTAAAAAAAGAAAATTCTAAATTTAGCTCTGATTTTAAGACAAAAATTTTATTTATTTTCTCTCCTAAATTGTACAGTCGAAACTTCATTATAAAATATACACAGAATACTTAGAGTACCTCTATTTTTATGGTGGAGTCTTTAAGAGTTTGTTGAACCCCAATGGGCAGAGGTGGGCCGGAACTCAGAGTTCCGACCGACCTCTGACTGTTCCGATTTCCGAAAAAATTTTGATTTCCGAGTTCCGACTTTTGAGCCAGTTCCGATTTCCGGCTCTTCCGATTTCCGACACCTTTGACTGTTCCGAACCACCTCTGCCACAGGGTGTGCATACATGATCCTTAACTTTTAATAGACATTGAATCTCACTGGGCAGAGGAAAAAAATATAAATTAAAAAAATCTCTCATTACGGTGTAAAAAATTATAATATTTTCTAAATGAGGTCTGACTATACAATTATTATCTACACAAAAATTGTAAACATAAACAAAAAGAAAATCTTGTCGACATAAACATTCAAAAACATTTTTTTCTGATTTTAAATTTTATTTTTGTTAGTTTTGATTTGTTTTTTTTTCACCTAGTTTTATATTTTTGCTTTTTTATTAAAAATGTTTATTTTAATTTGATTATTGACGTTTAAATTTTATTTTAAAGTTTAAATATTTTAATGTTTTTATTAAATTCTGATTTGTTTTTAGGTGTTTTAAAGTTGTTCTGATTTTGATTTGGTATGTTGTTGGTTTTTAATTGCTTTGGTGTTTTGATTGAATTCTGGTTATTATGTTGTTGTTGTTATAAGAGTTCTGATTTGATGTTTTATTTGGTTCAAATTAATTCTGCTTTTGTGCTGTTTTATGTTTTTTCCGTTTATTTAATGTTTCGATTAAATTCTGATTTGTTTTCAAGTGTTTTGATTATTCTGCTTCATGTTTTTGGAATATTCTGATGTTTGTTAATGTTTGTTTTCTTCCGTGCGAAGCTCTTTATTTGTTTCTTATGCTCATTTAATGTTTTTGTATCTGATTTGTTTTTAATTGTTCTGATGTTTTCAGGTCACATTTTGATGTTTTAATGTTTGTGGAATATTCTGGTGTTTGTCTTACTCTTTTCTACAAACACAACAATTTATTTTACAATCACAACAATACAAACAATATATATTGAACATTACAAATACTATTACAACAAAATGTTTGGGTAATTATATAGGCATAAGGGCAAATATAGGAAAATAGGTACAGAAATATATTTTTGAGGGAAAACAACAACAACAACAATTATTATTTTGAACTTTCTCTTCAACAATCACACATCTTTTTTCTTCTCTGGAACACTTATAGCTTCTTTTATTGTCCTCTCATCATTCCTGCTGGCTGCTCTTCGACTTGTCCTCCTCCTCCATTTTCGAGTTGGTCTCAAACATCGAATTCGCAGTGGTCGCCATTTTCGATTTCTCCTCCATCTTCGACTTCTCCTCCACCTTTGCCGTGGCCTCCATCATTGCTTTGTCCTCCTCCATTTTTGACTTCTCCCCCATCTTCGACTGCTCCTTCATCTTTGCCTTGGCCTCCTCCGATTTCCCGCCCATCTTCGAATGTTCCGCGGCCTCCATCTTCGAAGTCTCCGTGGCTCCCATCAGTGAATTCGCTGTAGTCGTGTCCTTCTCCCGATCAAACTAAAAATATCAATTAAAATTTTTTTGAAAAAATTAAAGGTTTTTACCTGATGTCGATCAGAGTCCGTGCTCAGGCCAACTGAACAGTAAGGTGGAAGAGGCATTTGACGCGGCCGCAGGTTTTGAGCTTTCTTCGCATGTTTGATCACTTCAGGGTTGATGTCCTAAAAGAAAAAAAAATTATTTTTATTTAATAAAAAATATTCCTTACCTCGTAGTCCTTGGTCGCTGCAATATATTCGTCGATGACATCGTTGAGTTCTTGCTGGTACTTTTCATTCTTCTTTTTTTCTTCTTCTGCCTTCTTTTTTTTCTTCTCCTTTCTTCTTCGTTCAATTTCGTCCAACCGCCCCGTTTCGTATTTGTAGTAGATGTGAATGACGCAACATTTTGAGAATATATAGCAGCAGCCAAGACTTGGAATGAGGATGAGGACGATGACTGGATCTGGATTATCCACTGTAGTGTAGAAGAAGAAGACTCCGAGTCCAATCAATATGAAGACGATGATGTTTATTGCATGAACCATTATACAAGTTTTGTTGCAGAAATCGGTCTTCTTTTCACAGCATCTATTCGTTATTGCACAACAGCAGAGAAGCATCGTGGCGGTAAAACTTCCACTAAAATAAACAGCCAGCCAAAAGTTTTCGCTCCGATATTTAGGTTTTTCCGTTGTTGTCGTCGTCCTTTCTGTCGTCTTTACAGCAGCAGGTGTTGATGTGGCGGTCGTTGAAGTGGTTGCAGTGGTGGTAGTTGGCGGTTGTGTTGTAGTCGTTATTGTGGTGGTGGTGGTAGTCGTTGTTGGATCGCCGACAGACAAAAGAGTGTAATTCTGCTTGTCCTGAATAGAAAGAAAATTTTTTAAAGGATTTTACAAAGGAAAAGTTAAAATTCCTTACAAATTCAATGTAGAGTTCTTCACATTTTGGACCAACAGGTTTGCTCTTTGTAATGTCTCCTTTGCTGTGATTTAGTGTTGCGTTCTGTGGAAGCATGTAAAAGACAAGCAGATGATCATATCCTGGTGCCGGACTCGTCCCACTGATATTCCAATTCTCAGGTTTGACAATGCCTCCTTTGGGAACGCAGTATGGATGGTTATCTAGCACAGCATCGTCTGGATTATATCCTTGCTCTTTCGATTCGTCCATATAGAACCCGCCTTGACTTGTTATCGTAAGCTCAAATTCATTGAATTCGTTAAACACTTTTGATCGATTCCATTTTTCCAGGCTCTCACCAACTAAAATATAAATGATAAAGACAATTAAAGACCTATTTATCTTACTTGGATGGGTGTGAGCAATGACTTGACGTTTTCCCTCATAAAAGCATCTGTTCCAACCAACCTCGAGAGAAGTCCATTCCATGCAATTACCTTTATCACACATATCTACACACTTCTGCCCTTTTCCAAAACGCAAACTGTTCTTGAGTTCCGTGATGTTTTCCTTAGTTGTACTGTAGCTGTAGGCGAAGGGAATGCTAAAAAGTAAAATAGAGGCAAATTGCGTATAGAATAGAAAACTAACAGATTCGCACTAGCACCATCAAAAGTATTTGCCGCCCTTATACAATCTTTTAGGCAGTCTGCAGTTTTGTTTTTTACTCCAGCCTTGAACTTGATCATGTTCGGGTGCTTGGTGAGTAGATCCACAGTGCAGCCGTTGTTCTTTATGTTCTTTCCGTTTTCCCTCTTGTAGTAGAGCACACTGAAGAAAACGAAAATAATCTCAAAAATTAAAAATCTTTGTAGAAACTCACATGTTTCCGTTTTTATCGAATTCAACATCACAGGACTCAGGACGTTTTGTGTATTTGACAAGAAGGTGGTCGTCTCCTGCTCCTACAGCCTCGGAATAATCAGCGAGTATGACATGACCATCTTTCAGAGTGTGGTCGAAGAATCCAATAGTGACATTGTCCTCCTTCTCACTGTTGACCTGTCCAACCAGCACAAAAACGAAGAGAGTCGAAGCAAAGAACATTGGCAAGATGGTGGTAGCAGAACGTAGAGTTGCTGTTGAAGCCTTTTTTGTTCCAGATCCGTCGTCGAAACAGAAGAGCATGACGCTTTGATGTTTTGTCGTTGTTTGTAGAGAAAGTGTCGTTCGAAGAATTTGTTTTGAAGAAGAAATTTGTCGGATGGTGTAGAAAGAAGAAAATAAAAGGCTTTTATAGTAGAGGTCGGCGCGGGACGGGATCCCGCGCGGGATTTTGCGGGATCCCGTCCCGCAATCCCGCACTTTTTTCGATTTGCGGGATTTTGCGGGATTCATCCCGCGGGATCCCGTCCCGCAAATGTTTTTAAAAAAATTTTATCCCGCGGGATCCCGCAAAATATTTTGAATTTTGCGGGATTTTTGGAAAGCGTTGGCAAAATGTCTTTTAATCTTGGCAAAATAATTTAATGTTGGCAAAATGTTTTCTATTTTCTTAATCGATCAAATGCGAAAACAATAAAATTTCTGAGAATTCTAAAGTATTTATTTTCTTGCTATGATTCCGAATAACAACAAAAAAGTTTATTTTATTCAGATGTCAGCTCATATCTGGAACATTGGTTTATTTAAAAGAATCAATAACAATGAAGCAGAGTGCATTAAATGTAAGGAAAATGGAGAAACAAAATATTTGTTTAAACTATCTGATCGGAGTGTTAAGAGCCTCATAGGACATGTACGAAGCAAAATACATAAAGATTCTGAAAATGCAAAACAATTCGAAAGGCTCGTGAACAAAGAACAGAAAACTGTAGAAGATTCAATTGACAAATATTTTCAGCAGCATAGCAGTGGTCTTATTTATTTTTTAATATTTTGTATTGTTTATTTTTAGGGAATCTCAGTCAATTAGACAAAAAAGTAATTAATTTGATTGCATGTGAAAACCTTCCATTCCGTTTGGTGAATAGTCCTTGGTTTCACTCCATTGTTAATCAGAACTGTGAAAAATTGAAGGATGAATCACACTATCGCAAGTGTTTACCCGACGTCTATGCTGCGGTTAAATTACGAATTACAAGTGAACAATTCACAGGGTTAGTGGATTAAATTTTGTTGTTTAATAAGCACAATTTTATACGTTAAGAACCCGTTAATGATGAGGAAATTGATATTGAAATCAAAAAATACTTAGGTCAAGGGTGTATTGATCAAAATGCCGATCCATTGGAATGGTGGAGTATTAACGCTGGAACTTTTAAAAACCTGGCGCAAGTTGCAAAAAAGTATCTTACCGCTCCCTCGGCAAGCATCGCTAGTGAACAGTTATTCAGTACGGCACGTGATCTTTATGACTATCGTCGATACAGCATCACGCCTAAGAATGGAGAAATGTTGCTGTTTTTGAATAAAGCAATTCCAATTATTAAAAAATATTAATTTTTTGACTTAATTATTTGTTAAATTTTAATATATTTATTAAATTTTCTCTTTTTTCAATAGATATTGATAATTTAAAAGATTTTTGAAAAATCCCGCAATCCCGCGCGGGATCCCGCAAATTTAAAATGCGGGATTTTGCGGGAATGCGGGATTTTGCGGGATTTATCCCGCGGGATCCCGTCCCGCAAAAATTTTTAAAAAAATTTTATCCCGCGGGATCCCGCAAACACGATTTTGCCGACCTCTATTTTATAGTATTTTAAAGTTGTCTTTTATTCTAAAACTTTTTTTCGAAACGAAAAATACCGTAACCCTTTTTTGAAGACAAATTGTCTTTTCCACAATATTGTTGAGAATTTTATTAAAATTTAGGCGAATTTAGTATTCTCTCGAGCAATAACAAATCTTTTAATTATTCGCTTCTGTCAAGACAGCGAAAATGTCATCACCACGGAGTAGTGATGGTCGGGATTCCCGGTCTCGGTTCCCGAGTCGGGAAATTTCCCGTGTTTTTTGAGCTCTCGGTCTCGGTCTCGGTGTTTTAGTCTCGGAAAACGAGACTAAATTTACACCCCTAATGACGGAAATTTTTTAAATTCTACTCGTACCTCGCGCACTTTAGCATTAAATTTTTTAAGGAAAAAGGAAAGAAATATTTAATTTTCTCCCATTTTTCTTTTGTTGTTCGATGGTTGAGTGGTTGTGTGACTGACTTCAATCACTTAGTTATTTTGTTAGTTCTGGGTTCGAATCCAGGGGTGGAATTGAGGCTGAAAAATTTTTCTTTTCAAAAATAAATGTCTTTTAATTTTGATTTTGATTTCAAATTTATTTTTTTTTTAATATTTTGAACTTGAAAAGACATTAAAAATTTTAATTTAATCATGAATTTTCCAAAATTTTCGCCTGCGGCGCATAAATCCTCACTATACATCCTCACTTGCGGTGAGAAAATGGGAGAAATCTGGCTTCACGACCTCCAAAATTCTCAAAATTTTCGCCTGCGGCGCAGCAAATGAATGAAATTGAAGGATTTATAGCTTAAAACCTTAAAAAATACAAGAATTATCGTATACGGCCTTAACTATTAGAGGTATCAATGGACTTGTCGGATATTGGAGCTTATTGGGATTTGAAAGGCTATAGAGGCTATATTAAAATTAAGAGGGATATCTGGAAACTTGGAAGGATTAAAGTAAACATAAAGGGACTTGTGAGTGGTATTCGAGGGTTGGGAAGATACCGTTCGATTTGGAGGGATATCGAGGGAAATAAGGGGATTCAAAGCGATTAATGGGAATATCAGTGGATTAAGGTGGATATCGGTAGATTTAGGAGGAGTAAAGTTATATTGTGGATGTGGGGATTCAAGGGATTTGAGGGATTATGAAGGATATATAGGGATATAGGATTATAAAGGATATATAGGGGTATATCAAGTGATATCCCTCCTAATCTCTTGGTCTCGACTCTCGGTCTCGACTCTCGGTCTCGACCCGGGACTCGGTCTCGGGGTTGATTCCCGGTCTCGGTCTTGGTTCCCGACTCTCGGCTTTTTTTAACTCCCGACCATCACTACCACGGAGAATACCTAATTCACCTTTTTTTTCAATTCATTTTTGTTGTTGTTTTACATAGAAGATTCATCCTTGTTTGGCATCAGTTAACAGAACAATAATAAATTTAAGGACACTAATTGAAGGCTAAAAGAGGAAAGAGGGTCTAATGGCCGTGAAATTAAAAAATTTTTAGTACAATAGAAACTCCTTTATGATCCTCTGGTTTTTCCAATGACGACAGTCTAATCCCACTGAACACGTTCAGGCTGAAACAGTCCTTAAAATCCGGATTGGGTGACGTTTGAAGGAGTGTAATGTGAGAACACATTGGGCTGAACTTTGCTGTTATTCTGTTTTCTCTTACGACAGTCTAATCCCTCTATAACGACACCCACCGGGCTGAATTTTGTTGACGTCAGAAGGAAATAGTCGTTGAGAGGGGAGTCAAATCAGGCTAAAACAAATCCCTCATGTCCGAAAGTGACGTTTGAAGGCGAGTAATGTGAGAAAGGGATTCTATCTTATAATGAGTGTATCTTAAATTGAGAGTAAATTGGGGTGAGATTAATTGTATTTTATAACAAGGGGTAGGCTATATTTTATAATTAGATTAATTGGAGGGTAATTGTGAGGCGTAGTTTATAAGGTAGGTGAATTAACTAGAGGATATCTTCACCTAATATCCAACCAAGTTTTTAAAAAAAACATTTTAAAGTGAGGGTTTATTTTTGAAAGTAAAACTTTAATATTCAAATCTAGAGTTGGAAAAAACCTGATTCCCTGTGGCGGGCCAGAGAGAAGAATACGAGTTTTTACACCGCCAGAGGGAAAAAGTTCGAGCTCTAATTATTAATTTAATAGGAGGAAATTCTGATTTATTTGTTTTGTTTAACTTTTCTGATGTTCATTTAATGTTTTGATTAAGTTCTGATTTGTTTTTAAGTGTTTTTTGTGTTTTAATAATGTTTTGATTTTTTTTGTTTTTGATAAATTCTGATTTAATGCAGAGGAATTTCTGGTTTTTCGATTTGTTTTTTTCAATGTTTTGATTAAGTTCTGATTTGTTCGGTCTTATTTTGATGTTTTTAGAATATTCTGATTTTTGTTACTGTTTTTTCTCTATCAACTCGTTTCTACAAACACAACAATTTATTTAACAATTACAACAATACAAACAATATATATATTGAACATTACAAATACATTATATTACAACAAAATTATATAGGTATAAGGGCAATATAGGAAAATAGGTACAAATATATTTTTGAGGGAAAACAACAACAACAATTATTATTTTGAACTTTCTCTTTAACAATCACACATCTTTTTTCTTCTCTGGAACACTTATAGCTTCTTTTATTGTCCTCTCATCATTCCTGCTGGCTGCTCTTCGACTTGTCCTCCTCCTCCATTTTCGAGTTGGTCTCCATCATCGAATTCGCAGTGGTCGCCATTTTCGATTTCTCCCCCATCTTCGACTCGCCCTCCTCCATCTTTGCCGTGGCCTCCATCTTTGCTTTGTCCTCCTCCATCTTTGATTTCTCCCCCATCTTCGACTTCTCCTCCGTCTTTGCTTTGTCTTCCTCCATTTTCGATTTCTCCCCCATCTTCGACTCGCCCTCCTCCATCTTTGCCGTGGCCTCCATCTTTGCTTTGTCCTCCTCCATCTTTGATTTCTCCCCCATCTTCGACTTCTCCTCCGTCTTTGCTTTGTCTTCCTCCATTTTCGATTTCTCCCCCATCTTCGACTTCTCCTCCGTCTTTGCTTTGTCTTCCTCCATTTTCGACTTCTCCCCCATCTTTGATTTTTCCGATGTAATCTTCGATTTATCATCGTCCTCCCATTTTGCCCTATTTTTCTTAGCCTGAAAATAAAAAGAAATACTCCATAACCACTCTATAATCACAAACTACCTTCATCAAGAGAAAGATGCCCATAGTTCCAACAGAGATAATAACAATAATTCCAACAAAAATTCCAATAAAGATGACTGTAGGCCCAAAGAGAGAATCCTGAGGTTTAGGCTTTTCAGTCGTTGTTGTCGTCGTTTGTGTGGTTTTTACGGAAGTCGTTGTTGAACTGGCTGTAGTGGTGGTTGTTGGCGGTGTTGTTGTCTTTGTTGTGGTGGTGGTAGTGGTTGTTGGATCGCCGACAGACAAAAGTTTGTAGTTCTGTTTGTCCTGAATAAAAAGAAAATTTTGAAAGGATTTTACAAGAAAAATTTAAAATTCCTTACAAATTCAATGTAGAGTTCTGTACAATTTGGACCATCAGGTTTTTCCGTCGTGATTTCGCCTTTGATGTGCTTTCGAGATGCGTTCTGTGGAAGCATGTAAAAGACAAGCAGATGATCAAATCCTGGAGCTGGACTCGTCCCATTGATTTTCCAAGTCAAAGGTCGGGCAATGCCTTTTCCTTGAGGAACGCAGTATGGATGGGTTTTTGGATCATCGTCTGGATTATAACCTTCCTTTTCCAATTTATCCATATAGAACCCGCCTTGTTCTGTTATCGTCAGCTCAAATTCATTAACTTTTTGACTCCATCTTGTCATTTTTTCGCCAACTAAAATTTAAATAATCAAGACAATTAAAAGGTTTATTTTGTCTTACTTGGATGGGTGTGAGCGAAAATATAATAGCTGTCGTCGTCGTCGTCAATGAAGCATTTGTTCCAAGCAACCTCGAGAGAAGTCCAAGGCATGCAAAGTCGTTCATCTCCACCGCATCTATCGAGCCTTCTGCAAGTCCCATTGAGCCGACGTTTCTTGAATTGCGTGATGTTTTCCTTAGTTGTACTGTAGCTGTAGGCGAAGGGAAGACTAAAAAGAATTAAAATATTCAAGCTATGCATGAACTAACGTATTATCACTAGCACCATCAAAAGTATTTGTTGCACTTGAACACTTTTTTAGGCAGTCTGCAGTTTTGTTTTTCACTCCAGCCTTGAACTTGATCTTGTTCGAATGACTGGTGAACAGGTCCACAGCGCATCCGTTGTTCTTTATGTTCTTTCCGTTTTCCCTCTTGTAGTAGAGCACACTGAAAAGAATGAAAATTGTTTCAAAGATGCAAAAAGCATGTCGAAACTTACATGCTTCCTTCATTGATTTTAACATCACAGGACTCAGAACGATTTGTGTATTTGACAAGAAGGGAGTCGTCTCCTGCTCCGACAGCCTCGGAATAATCAGCGAGCGTGACATGACCATCCTTCAGAGTGTGCTTGAAGAATCCAATACGATCATCCCCACTCTCACTGTTGACCTGTCCAACCAGCACAAAAACGAAGAGAGTCGAAGCAAAGAACATCGGCAAGATGGTGGTAGCCGAACGTGGAGTTGTTGATGGCGCCTTTTTCGTTCCAGATCCGTCGTCGAACCAGAAGAGCATGACGCCTTGATGCTTTGTTGTTTGTAGAGAAAGTGTCGTTTGAAGAATTTGTTTTGAAGAAGAAATTTGTCGGCTGGTGTAGAAAGAAGAAAATAAAAGGGCTTTTATAGTACAGGGTGTCCCAACTAAAAAGCACTATTTTAAAAATTAATAACTTTTTACTATCTTGACGGATTTTAATGATTTTTGGTATTTTATATCTATAATTTATGAGAATTTTTTTGACATAAAAATTATGTCTAAATTCGAACCCTAACCCGAGATAATTTCGTACTCTACCGTTCTGTTTTTCCCTTTTTCCGCACATGCATTCTTACTCCCTTTTGTTTTTTTTGAGCAGCGATAGACACTAGAGTAAACACTAGGCGATAGACACTAGATTTTCAATACAGTATCCACTCTTCGCCATACGCAGGAAAATAAATGCACTAAGACAGGGTTAGGGTTCGAATTTAGACATAATTTTTATGTCAAAAAAATTCTCATAAATTATAGATATAAAATACCAAAAATCATTAAAATCCGTCAAGATAGTAAAATGTTATTAATTTTTAAAATAGTGCTTTTTAGTTGGGACACCCTGTATTTTAAAGTTGTCTTTATACAAAACTTTTTTTTCGAAACGAAAATACCGTAACCCTATTTTTGAAGAAAACTTCTTCATTCTATTGAGAAGCTTAATAAAATTTCTCATAAAAAACTTTTATTTTAATCTCAATATTTTCTTTAACCTTTTCAAAAGTCACAATAAATGTACAAATGTATGTAAAAAAACTGGCCGTAGCAATCACAACAACAGAAAAAACTGAGGGGAAATATAAAAATTTGCTTCTTAAAAAGTTAAACAATTAAGAGAAAAATATACATATCCTATTGTCTCTAATAGAATCCCATCTTCACTAGAAGCCCATGCCCCAATAGAAGTCCATGCCAGCCCACCCAATGAGGGGTATCGAAAAATAAAAGCCCAGGGCTTGTATTAGAGACAATACGGTAATTGTTTTAAAGAATATATAAATTTTCATTAAAAATTTAATTTATAAAAAGATGGCCATAAATTTTTTTCTAAAATTGAGGAGTTGTTTTGAAGTAGAAGAAATAATATAGAGTAATATAAATTTATATTTATTTTTTATTTAAAGAGGAGAGTAAGGTTGGCGGATATTCGGATCCAAAAAAGGCTGGGATATCCGGAAATTTTCGGTTCGGATGCCGGATATCCGAAGATTTCAAACTATCCGCCAACCTTTAGAGGAGAGAGGGAGACAGAGTTTGAAATTAATGAATGAGCTTTTTTTCTTTCTTTGGACAATATTAAAAAAATAAATTTTTATTTTTGAAAAAATGAACAGTCCATGAGAAAACATCCAAGAGGAGTTTTTGAAAAAATAGTAGTCAAAAAATGTCATTCAATGCTTTTTCAAATACCCCTATTTTTTTTATTTTCATCTTCCAAAACTGTTCATGTAGGATCAAAATATTATTATTATTACTTATTAGTGATGCCCTAATCAAAAACTTTTTTTTGGCACAATCACAGATAAAACCCCCAAACAGGCACCAGTAATAATAAATAGAGATTGGACTGAGACGAGAGCTTAAACAAAAAATCTCGATTATCATGATCGAGATCTTCGTGAAGATTTTTAAGAAATTTTAAGATTTAAAAGAATTTTTAAGCCCTTTCAGTCCAACCTCTAATTAATAATTAATATTTATTTAATTATGTTCCCCTTCTTTCATAAACGTCAAAATATCTTTTTTTGTTATTATACCCAATAACCTTCCATTATTTGTTACAAGCTAAAAAATTTAAAAATATATATTTTTAATAAAAGAATTATAAAAACTTACAGTTCCACGTAATCCCAATTTTCTAAACATATCAATTACTGTTTCCATTGGTGTTTGATCAGCAACAGTCATAGGGGCCTATAAAAATATATTAATTCCTTTAATGTTTTAATTTAATTCTGATTTTAAAAAGTCATTGTTTTAGATAAATTCCGGTTTTTAAAATGTTTAAATTTAATTCTGATTGGGTTAGGGTGGTTATTTATTTCAATTAGAAAAATTCTGATTTTCATTTAATGTTTGAAATTAATTCTGATTTCTTGTTTTAGGCTATTTATGTTTTTTTTAACTTTTATATTTAAAATTCTGATTTTAATGTTCGAATTTAATTCTGATTTTATCAAAAAGAAAAATAAACGTTCATGTGTTTTAGTAGATTCTGATATTTAAAATGTTCAAATTTAATTCTGGTTTTTTGTTTTAGGCTATTTATTTGTTTTTAATTTTTGTTTTTATAAAATTCTGATTTTCCTTTAATGTTTGATTTTAATTCTGATTTTTTGTTTTAGGCAAGTTATTTGTTTTTATAAAATTCTGATTTTCTTTTAATGTTTGAATTTAATTCTGATTTTATTTATTTATTCTTACCACATCCATAATATGATTTATATACAACGGTGCTGGAGACCCCGGTAATTGTTCTGATATTTCAGAATTTTCTTCTTCCACTCTATTTTCTTCTTTTCTCCTTCTTCTTCTTCTTTGTTCGTCGACAACAATAATATTATCAAATGTTTCTGGTTGTTGAGAATTTATATTATTTCTACTACTATTTATATTATTTGTATCACAATTTGTTGTTGTCGATGTTGTTGTAAAATATACAGGAGAATTTGTTGTTATATATGGCATTGTTTTACGTGCATTTTTTAGTACTTGACCAAGATCCATTCTAAATTTTTTTTAAAAATATTAAAAATTTTCGAGAATTAAAATTATTCAGGGGGTTAGGGGAGCTACTTAACAAGGGACAACCACTTACCGACACATACAATTTTATCTTTTTTGGTCCCATTCGATAGAACACCATCACTTCTATTGCCAAGGTTCCTTTTTCTTTTAAATTAAAATGAGGTTTAAGAAAGTTATAGTGTTCGAGGATCCAGATATGTTGGAAATACTCAGGATTCGCCAAATCATTCATAAGCCCTTATTTAGGGGGCTTGTGCACAAGTTTACCCACTACTATTAAGTATCCAAACTCTCGAACTTCATCTTTAGATAGTTAAGGTAGGTCTAATTCAGGCACACAGACAAGGATGAATGGGGCTCTATTGGAGAATTACCCTTATCTCTCTCCCGGAATCTCTTTTTCTCCCAAAAAATTTTTCCTGGCTACATGAGTAACCTATTTATAAAGTACAATATTTTACAGATCCAAAGGGTTTAATTTTAGGTTTTTTTACCCAAAAGATCCAAATTTAAAAGTTTTAAAAAATAAAATAATTTTTCTATAATTTCCCCCAAAACAACAACAAACCTTGTACAAAATCCAACAACCAACATTTGATTACCATCATTAACTACAGGAAAACCATTACAATTAGATTCTCTCAAAACAGTTTCTAATTCTCCAACAGACATTCCATTTTGCTCAATAACACGCATTTCATTACTTGGACGCATTACTTGGGCGGCAACTGTTGAATATGGATATTCTCCTTTATTGTCAAGAAATGGATATCCATTCAATTCTATATGAGCATCATATATTCCCTTTAAAAATAAAAATTTTCTTTTAATGTGGAAGAAAGTTGGGATATACTTTAGCCGGTGGCCCACTCCGAAAAAACCATAAGGGGGGGGGGGGGGGGGAAAGTAAGCACAGAAATCTGCTTACTCCCCCCTATGGTTTTTCGGTTTTTAAGGACCTATATCTCGGCTAGAAGGCATTTTAACAGATTAGGAGTGGTACCATTCGACTCAGCTCGCCGAGACGAATGGTATACATATTTTGGAGTGGGCCACTGGCTAAAGTACAGCCGAAAGTTTTTTTGAAGGTAACAATAATTAATTTTAAATAAGAGACTGGGGGGAAGGCAACTATTTTGGAAGGTTTAAAAATTTTTTTTTAAAAATATAGGAGAGCTTGGGAGAACTTGACAAAAATTAATAAAAGAAAAATTTTATTTAAAAAATTAAAAAAAATTAGAAACCGTTTTATAAATAGCATCACCAACCCATTTTGCAAACATTACTGCTGCCATTGTTGGTACAATAAATTCTAAACTGCCAGTCAATTCAAACATAATAACAACTAATGAGACGGTCATTCTTTAAAAAACAAAAAAAAATTATAAATTTTCCGAGGAGGGGCAAATAATGGATACAATCCGATCTACCAACCACCTCCCAGTCCACCAAAGCATTTATAATTAACAATGGGCTTATGAAAGTAGGATCTTTGGAAACTGACAATGAGCCTTGGGGAAGCCCGCGCGAACTTCTGGATCCCTATCTCTTTTCAAAAATCACCGGGTATTGTTAAAACTATTACTAGACCAGACCCAAATAGTTAGACTATTCAAAAAAATTTTCCAAAAAAACCTGGTAACTCCTCCAAGAACAGCAGCAGCTCCAACCATTGCATACAAACCAGGCATAACACAATCCCTTCCAATTCTACACATCCACAAATCACTTTTTGGGTATTGTTGTTGTAAAGCATAAGTTAACCCTTCTACTTTAATTCCTAAAAGACGTCCAGCAATTGCCCCCATTGCCAAACTTGGAACAAATAATCCTGAAGGAACTTTTACACCAAAAGTAAAAATTGTAAAAAGTAATTTTGCAAATAAAGCCATAACAAGTTGAAATATTGCTGTCTTAAAAAAATTAAATTTAACAAAAAAAATTAAATTTTAATAAAAATTAATTTTTTAAACCAAAAAATTAAAGGAAAAATTAAAAGAAAGAATTTCTATCAAGGGGGAAACTCACAAACTGTGAGTCGAAATTTTGTATTATTTTTGGTACCAATCGATAGAGCATCATCGATTTGCTCTAGAAAATTTTCGGGGTTTTTGGCGAAGAATATGAAACTAAAAAGATATAGGGCTTCAAAGTTTGCCCAAAAATGGGAGAGAAAAAAAAACGTGAGTCTTTGTACAGCAACCTTTAAAAATTGTGGTGTAGTGGGATAAAAAAATTTTTGAAACAAAAAACAGGCAAAGTTCGATACCTAATGTTAGTAAACGAATTAAAAATAAAATTAATTTCCCCAAAAACAGAAAAAAATTAAAAATAAAGGACCGGATTTCTGAATAAAATTAGTCAATTTTTGAAACTGTGGTGTAGTGGGATAAAAAAAATTTTTATCCAAAAAATTAGGCAAGGTTCGATACTCACCGATGGAAAATGAATTAAAAATAAATTTAGTTTGATATAAAATTATTTTAAAAATTCTGAAGAATAGAAAGAAATATTTTATGATTTTTAGAAGACCCCCCTCCATATTTAAAAATAAAATTAAAAAAAACCTGTAATCCACTCCCCAAATCTCCTGTATGATAATTATCATCAACTTTATCCACAACTTGTCCAAAAGTAAAATTTCTATTATAATCACACAAATTTTGTCCATAATCCTCAGGTCCGCACCGATCAAAAAGCTTTAAGAAAAAAATTTTTTTTGAAAAAAAAATTTCTAGAAAAATTTTCGAAAAATAAAGAAAATCGTTAAAAAATTGAAAAAAATTCTCTAAAAATTTCTAAAAAATCCTCAATAATTCTTCAAAAATTCAAAAAAAAAATTCCAAATTTTTTTTAAAAATTTTAGAAATTTTTTTTTCAAAAAAATTTCTAAAATTTTCAAAACTTAGAAAAAAATCTTTAAAAATTTCTGAAAAATTTTAAAAAATTTCAAAAAGGTTCAAGAAAATTTCAACAATTTTTCAAAATTCCAGAAAAAAAAATTTTTTCAAAAAAACCTGTTTAATCAAAGAACTAGCACTTTTGCGTGTATACGGATTAAAAAAAGACAAAGCTCCAGTTACTGCTGAAACAACCAAAACTTCATATATCGGATTTTGCCCTAACCATTGAGTATTTTTACGATAAGCACACCATTTTATATTTGACCTGGAAAGAATTTTTTTAAATAAAAAAAAATTCAAAGAAAAACCATATAAATAAGCTTCCAAGAAGACCTCCAAATATACCCAATGCAGCAAACGGAATTAATTCCATAAATGTCCAACGCATAGAATAGTCAACGTGGAATAGAGAAGTCTAATAAAAAAATTTAATTTTGTTGGAAAATATTTTAAAATTAAAAGAAAAAAATTTTGGGGGGAAAGAGAAGGAAAGGAGGTAAACAAAGCCAAAACATTAAAACTAAAAAAAATTCAGAATGGTAAAAATATAAAATAGAAAGAGACCCTTAAAGACAAAATTATATAATTTAATTAGTGTCGGTTTGGAAACGAAAAACAGAGAAATCAAAATATTTTTCAAAAAAAAAAAGACAAAATATTTCCAATATGGACAAAAAGAAAATAAAAATTTCAACATTTCCCAGAATTACCCAACTATGTATACCAGGCCTGGGGATATCTGAAACCATGACTTTAAGGCACGAACCTCGTTTTCCTTCCTAACTAACCCGACAGGAAATCAGATAATTTCTCAATCTGTAAACTATACAAAAAATAAAAACCTGATCACTTCCAAAAGGATTAACAAAGCGTAAAACAACTCCAGCAACAAGAGCACAAAAGAAGGAGCGCCACATAGTTTTTAAAGGAAAATAATAACTTGCTTCTTCAAGACTAAAAAAATTTCTCGAAAAAAATTTCAAAAAAATCCTTAAAAAAACCTAAACATAACCCCACCAATTGGAGCACCAAAAGCAACAGAAACACCGGCAGCTGCAGAAGCACTCAATATTTCACGTTTTTTGGCTTCATTTCTTCCATATTTTGGGAAGAGGTAGGAAAATATATTGCCTATACAACAGGCTAAATGAACCATTGGACCTTCTTTGCCAAGGCTTAGGCCTATGGAAAAATTTTTTTTTAAAGGTTTTGTGACTGACAAATTTTTATATGTTGTCTTGAACTTTGCGGACATAGACCAGAGAGCTTAACAATTTGACCTGAAGTCAACCCCCCCCCCCCCCGTCAAAGAAAAATACAGAGGGCTCAAAAATGCTTGGCTTTAAGTTCTGGATACTTTTTGTTGCCTATAGTTGGAATTTGGAGTAAATTCAGTAACATAAGTCTCATTTTATGTTAATCATTGAGTTAGAAAACCCAACAGCCATATAGGAAGCTCTAAAACGTCCCGAATCTAAAATTTGAACCAGACCTATCTATAAATGAAAAACTGGTTCCCTATAAATGAAGTCAAAAAAAAGGCATAAATTTTTTATTTTAAGGCTAGAATAAAGACTAAAGGGGGAAAATCAGCAAAATAAGCCCGCAGGATATATTTTTATCTTTAGAGGGGAGAGGGGATCCTTAAAATAAGTTCTTTCCAGGCATATACAAGTTCGGATTTTATAGAAAAAATAAAATTAAAAAAAATAATAAAAAAAACCTGAAGCAGAAGCCAAAATTAACCCGACAGATTTAATTATAAACGTCCACTTGCCCAAATAGCCACGTATTATAAATCCAGAAAGTATACATTTAATTTCTGGTATACCAGATCCACAAGCATATGGGGCAAATGTTTTAACCAAAGTTACAGCTAATCCAGCGAGGGCAACTAAAAATTAAAAAAAGGTTGCAAAATGGTCAATTTTTTTGTTTTGGGACGAAATGTCCATTTTTTATTTTTAATTGAAAAAAATTTTCTTTAAATCCAAACCTGCCCATGAGACAAAGAAAATAAAATCTAGCGAATGGTAAAGCCAGTCACGATGCCCGCGATCACTGGAAAGGAAAACTTCAGGCCATGAACGCCAATTAAGACAGTCGTTGTCCTTTGAAGGGAGGAAATTTTTTTTTAATTTTTAAAATTTTTCTTAAAAAAATTTTTTTCCTTCTAACAATAAAACTGTCAAGAGAAAAATTTTTTTAGACAAAAGCACAAACTTTGCAAACCTTTTTAAATTTTAATAAAAATTAAAAGTTTAAGAAAAGACAGCAAAATCGCTTCCTTCTTTTCTTCTTTTAAAGGGCAAAAATAATTGAAAGAATAAAAGTAAAAAATCAAAAAAAATAAAGATTGAATGGAATCAATGATTAATTCAAAAAATATTTTTTAAAATTTAAAAAAGGGTTGGACTTTAATTAAAAATTAAATTTATTTTTATTCCTTAAAAAAGCAAGAAAATGGGACTCCCTCTAATAAAATGGGCTTCCCTCTAACACAACATGACGAGAAAAAAATCTTTTTGAATTTTAAAAGGCCCCATATTTTCATAAGGTGGAAATTACGGATATTGGCGACTAATTAATTTTTACATGTAAAGGCTTAACTCTTTAAGACTCCCCATCCGAGCCGATAAAATCGAAAATAGTCGACTACCAACTCTAGAGGAAAATGATAAATGGGGGCACCCAAAGTCCAAAAGTCCTCAAAAATCATTTTTTTCATATCGTAGGACGAAATTAAAGATGTTGGCGACATGATAATTTTTACTGTATAGCGGCTAAAATCCTAAAGACTCCCCTATCAAGCCGATAAAATCGAACATAACCAGCTACCAACACCTGTAGAGGAAGATGAAAAAATGAAGGCCTAAAGGCCAAAATTCCCCAAAAAATTTTTCTCCCAATTTTCGCCAAAAAATTTTTTAAAAAGAAAAACCTTGAAAGCGCTATCATTCGCAGCCCAACAGCAATGTTCTCTATCCAACCAAAATCTATCTGCACAAATTCCATCCTTCAAATCACTCATCCATCTAGCCCCAATATCAATAACCCCAGCAATTGCCCCAGCAGCCATTCCAACCAACAAAACACAAATCCACCCGCTCCCAGCATCCCAAATTGTTAAAATTGAACCAAAAGGAAAGTCTTTTCTTCGATAAGCACGAATGCATTTGTGTCGTAAACGGTCTCTAGCCAAATCTCGAGGCCAATCTATTGTGTGAAAATCGCCGTATTTGCTGTACATTTTAGCTTTTTCTTGAAAAAATTTTTTTTTAATTTTATGAACAAAATACAAGTTCGAAACCTCTCTATACGATACCCTCGATATTAGGCACCCCTCTATTTAAGAGACGCTTGTTAAATTTTTAGTTTACTACTGGGTAGGAGAGCTGCCAGGGAATACCCCCCCCCTATTTAAAATACAACTTAGAATAAGTCAGAACCTCCCTATAAGAGACACCCAATATTAGAGACACCTCTATTTAAAAGATATTTTTGGAAATTTGGTTGGTCACTGGATTGGGGGGGGGGAGCTTTCCAAGCTAATACCCACAATTCAAGCTATAAGTCGAAATTTGCCTATAAGATACTGGGGGGGGGGGATATATTGCCTGGACAGCCCCCCTGATGAACATATAAACAAGAAACAAATATAAGATCAACGCTTCGTTAGAACACCTCAATTTAAGGAAAACCCTCTATTTAAGAGACATTCTTTAAAATTTGGTTGGCAAGTGGGGAAGGCTGTCTAAGCGATTCCTTCCAAGTTAAGCTACCCCACGTTACAAGGGACGAATTTTTCAGCCCCAAAAGGAGTATCTTATAGTGAGATTGACTGTATTTTAAAGAAATTCTTGAAATTATTAAAAACGAAAATCGAGAGAGAATAAAAAAAATATGAAACTATAAATGTTGAATAATAATAAAAAATATAAATTGTGTATCATCACAAAATGATGAACATATAAACAAGAAACAAAAAATGAGGAAAAGTAAAACGCGGAATTCCTAAACATTTAATGTTGTTCTTTGGCCAACAGAGAAAGAAAATTAGGCAATTTGGAAGTTTGGGACAAAATGTCATTTTTAAATATTTTAAACATTTCGCCAATAATTTGCGATTATTTGGCTTGCGAATACTCGGGGCTAGTCCAAAATTATTTTAGAAGTGTCCGGCAAGATAATTTTTTTCGTTACCGGAAACTAATCCGGTGTGATCGAACCTAGTAATTTTGTTGGTGTGTTTATATCCTCTTAAGGTACTTTTCGGTTTTGCCACACCCCTCCCATATATTCGCAGGATATTATTTCTATTTCTCCTTAATTTTTACAGAAAGGTCAGTCTTCTTTCTTCCTTAACTTCACATTGGAAAGAAAAATTAATCATTTCTTTGTTAATGTCTCTCTTTTAACATGCCACAGAGAAAATTGAGTGAAATCGAGGAAGAAAGAAGACTGACCTTTCTGAAAAAAATTAAGGAAAAATAGAAATAATATCCTGCGAATATATGGGAGGGGTGTGGCAAAACCGAAAAGTACCCATCTTAATTTCTTATTAATCACTTTAACAGGCCTAGTTTATTTCTTCCAATGATTTTTTCAAAAAAATTGACTCCTAGTTTGCTAATTAATTTGCCGTTGTATTCGTCAAGACGGCCAATAAGCTTTGCTCTTTCACAAAAGTAAATTTTAAGTCAAATTACTTGGATTTATATTTTCTGTTTAGACAACAAGAAATCAAGAAAAATGCATCAAAATTGGCCAAAGAAGTTCTGCAAAGTGTATCGCTTTATGATAGAACGAAGGAATTTCCAGTGGATATGATAAAAAAGGCACAATCGAGTGGATTGATGAACTCACTGATTCCCAAAGAATACGGTTTTTATTTTTTTATTTAACAGACAAATATTGGAATCTAGGACAGATAAGGAGTGTTGACGCTCCTTTTTTTAGATTTTTTTCAGCGAATGGACTCGCTCTTTTATTTATTTATTTTAGGTACCCCATTTATTCGCAATTCCTATTGTTAGCTTGTGAATAAATGTGGGGTGACCGGCAAAATCGTATTTGCGGATCCCGCATGCGGGAGTAACTTTTAAAAACCCACGCGGATTTCCCTCAAAATCCGCGTGGGTTTTGCGGGATACCTCTTTTAACTAATAAATACTATGACTCGAATTGCACGGAGAATGAAAAACAGAACAAAACCAATTGTATTTTTAGGCGGACAGGGACTGGATGTATTAAGCCATGCCCTTATCAGCGAAGCTATTGGTTATGAATGCACTAGTATGGGATTTGCTATATTAGGAAACGATCTCGCTACGATTCCAATAATTAATGCTGGAAGTGATGAGATTAAAAAGAAATATTTGAGGAGGCTGATTGAAGAGCCCGTTTTAGCGGTTTTTTAAAATTTTTGAAAAGTTAAAAGGTACTTTTCTGTTATGACGTAACCCCCTAAATTAATGTTCAAAATGTCATATATAGGGTAGAAAAAGGTGCTGAGTCGAACGGTACCACTCTTTTTTCACGAAGATGCCTGTGGACCGAGATATAGGGCTCGAAATGGTCAAAAACCATATGGGGGAGTGCGCCTCGCCTGCGCCACATAGGTTTACGTTGACCATTTTGAGCTTGTTAATCTCGTCTCAAAATCAAGATTTCGAGCTGATTTTGGTGTCGTCTGACTCAGCTCGAGGAGCTCTTTCGGAAAAATTTCGGAAAACGAACAGATCCGAAATAGGTCGAATTATATGTCATTCGAAAGAGCTCGTCGAGCTGAGTCGAATGGTGAAAAAATTTTCGTGTGGACTCATAGAGGGGCTGAGATATAGGTCCGCGAAAATCGAAAAACCATAGGGGGGACCAAGCACTTTTTGGGGTGAAAATTTCGAAAATGCAAATAATAGCTCATTCGAAAGAGCTCATCGTGCTGAGTCGAATGACACCAAAATCAACTCGAAATCTTAATTCTGAGCCGAGATAGAGTCTCAAAATGGTCAACGTAAACCTATGGGGCGTAGGCGAGGCGCTTGTGCAAAACCCCGCGCTTCGCGCGGGGTTTTGCGGCACGCGCCTCGCGGGGAGTCTACGGGCGATGGGTCTGGGCTCGTAACTTAATCCTATTCCAATTATCGCTGTAATGGGTTATCTGGCTTCCTCCGTAGCAGGAAAAACCTCGACGGATACCAAAGGTAAGGAGCTAAAACAAACGATCATAACTTTGTCAAATCAAGTCAGATTTCGTTGATTTTGGTGTCATTCGACTCAGCTCGACGAGCTCTTTCGAATGAAGTATAATTTGCATTTTCGAATTTTTCACCCCAAAAAAGTGCTTGGTCCCCCCTATGGTTTTTCGATTTTCGCGGACCTATATCTCAGCCACTCTATGAGTCCGCACAAAATTTTTTTCACCATTCGACATAACTCGACGAGCTCTTTCGAATGACATATAATTTGACCTATTTCGGATCTGTTCGTTTTCCGAAATTATACCGCTCTTTCAAATGAGATATCATTCAAAAAATGCAATTTTTCACCCCAAAATTTAGCTTACTCCCTCCTATGGTTTTTGACCATTTCGAGCCCTATATCTCGGTCCACAGACATCTCCGTGAAAAAAGAGTGACCGTTCGATTCAGCACCTTTTTCTAACCTATATATGACATTTTCAACATTAATTTAGGGGGTTACGTCATAACGGAAAAGTACCAGTTAAAAAATGGCTCTATCTTAGGACATGCGTCCCATGAAAGTATATGCGTCCCATCAACAAAAAATTGGATTTTTCTTGGTTTTGCAAAGTTGAGGTATGGTTTCAAAGCATTTCTTCATGTTCGGGACCTACGCCCACTGGGTCTGGGACCGTTCCTTACTCTATCCCTTGAAATTTCTGAAATTTAAAATCGTTTTTCTGAAATTTTTAAAAATTGGCTATAACTGTCAGAAATTTCGAGGGATAGGGTAAGGAACGGTTCCAGACCCAGTGGACGTAGATCCCGAACATGAAAAAATGTTTTGGACCCATACCCCTACCTTTCAACACCAAGAAAAATCCAATTTTTTGTTGATGGGACGCATATACTTTCATGGGACGCATAAAAGTTCATAGACGCATGTCCTAAGATAGAGCCTAAAAAAGTTCTTTCTTTCTAGTCATATTGTGTGTCAGAATATGATGTTGGCCAAAATGTTTCACGGCTTAAAACAAAGACAGTAATGGAAGATGATGAATGGGAGACTCGAACAGAGGCAGTCAAGAAAGGTGGTGAATGGGTGGTCAGTTTTTTAGCATCCTTTCCCTTCTAAAATTTTTTAAAGATTAAAGGCTCAGAATTTTGGGTTGTTACTGGTGGAGTTGCTTCTATGTTCATTGTTTTAGCACGTACTGAGCTTAATCTTAATGCTCCAATCGAAGAATCATTTACCGCTTTTGTTGTTGATGGAAATTCCAAAGGTCTGTCTCGTGGAAAAAAGGTTTTTTTTATTAATTTTTTTTGGATTTTTCGATATTTTTTGTATATAGAGAATGGGTCAACGCTGTATTAATGCTCAAAGAATTACTTTTCGGGATGTTGTTGTTCCCTCGACAAATATTATTGGATCTATTGGCGATGGAATGAAAATCGCAAGGATGACTTTTGACAAAATTGGACCAGCTAAATCTGCATTTGCAATTGGACTTGCTTCTAGAGCTTTGGATGAAACTAAAAATTGTTCAATCGAAGGGAAGGCTAAGACTGATCCCAATGTAATTTTTACGTATTTTAGTGAGGCTTGTTCACATTTTCATGTTCTAACTTTGTTTACTCGTGAATATGTTTGGAGTTCGAGTCATTTTTTTCGGGTCTCATTTTTTCGGGCCGGCCCGTCCGAGTCTTTTTCGGGCCAAAATTCGATGCTCGACTCGATCTTTCGGACCGGACCCCAAACCCTACTCGAGAAGACAAGTTCATCTGAATTCCTTTCACGTGCCTAATTGTAAAATACTCTACATACCTACTCGATTAATTCCCCTGGGGAATTTTTTCAACCCATCAGCATGGGGAATTATTCAAGGAAGGGGAATTATTCGAGTTTTAAATTGAACCTGTAGTAGGGTATTTGGGGGAGGGGAATTATTTCCTAACTCATCCGTAGCAGGGGGAATTATTCGAGAGAGAGAGGAATTAATCGAGTAAATACGGCATTTAATTTTAACTTGAAATAATTCAGAGTTCTTTCTCACAACAGCTTCAATCTCTTTCCTTTTCCCTTGATGATTTGGCATTTAACTTGGAGCATTCGCGTAAGCTTACTCATAGAGCTGCTCAGGCATTTGATTATGATGCTTCACTTATTGTTAGTAAGCGGATCTTTGGAAATTCTCAAAATGATAAAATCTTTGCCGATGCTGCTCTAGAGGTTTGCGAGATTATTTTTCTCAAATTTTTTGTTTTCTCACTATTAATTTTAAATTTCAGATTTTTCAAAAGAATGGATTTAATAAACATTTTGATATTTTGAAGACTGAGCGAAACATTCACTTTGTATGATACATTTTACATGGGAGCAGGAGTGTACCGTGAGCCCAATATACCGCCGAGCTATAACTTTGTTCAAAATTGTCAAATCCGTGGCGCCCTAGTATGGTTCGATGCGTCTCGACCAGCTGAATCGAACCATATCAGGGCGCCACGGATTCGACAATTCTGAACAAAGTTATAGCTCGGCGGTAAATTCGGCTCGCGGTACATCGGGGTGTACCCATTTTACATATATATTTTTTGATTAAATTTTCTTTTCGAATTCCTCATTTCTTTGATTTTTTAGGAAAGGAGGCCCTCCTTTTTTACATTTATTTTCAAAATTTGCCAAGAATTTTTTATTCAATGCTTTTTCAGATTTTTCATTATTTTGATGAATTTTTTCCTCTTTTTCTTCTCCTTCCCTCTCGGGGTTATTTTAAAATTCACAATAATTTTAGTTATTCCACAAGTCTCATTGTAAACTGGAGGATGGATCAAATGTTTGTAAAGTGGCTTCTCCTGCTATGTTTCCATTTAGACGTCTGGACAGAAATTTATCTATGTATAGGTGTGAAAAGGTATTTGTTTATATTGTTCAATATTTTAATGGTTTAATTATAGTCAGGACCAATTGGAGAATTTCTTAGCCTTGAAAAATTCTCAAAAATTTCCACCTGCGGCGCTAATTAGTAGAGCTGTCCGAGACCGAAATTTTTCCAAGACTCAAGACCCAAGACAAACTCCAAGACTCAAGACCAAAAACAATACAAGACTCGAGACAATTTTTAGGTCCCATAGGTCAAATTTTTGCTTTATTTTTTGTTATTTTGACACGATCACAGTCAACTTCAGTACAATCACTTATAATTTCGAAAAATCTACGCGAAATTCAAAGAATTTTGGAGAATTTATCCAGGTAGAAAATCAATGAGATATATTATTTCAGAGGATTTGGGTGGATTAAGGGGATATTAATGATATCAAAGGGTTAAGCTAAAATTTTGGCGACACCCAACGTTAGCCCTCTTCAAAATCGACCCTCTGGCTACGCCCTTGGATTACGGAGGATATTGAGGTTTAAAGGGAAAGTTAAGTGGATTAAGAGGGATCAAAAGGAATATTATGAAGTTGGGGGGCCTGGGTGATTGAGTGATGGTGGCTGCTGATATCTATCCTCTATTTTATCCCTATCTTTTCGCGCCGCTGGCGAAAATTTTTACAATTTTGGAGGAATTTTAAGCCAAAAATTTTCTCATCCCATTTTGAAAATTTTGGAAGGACAAGAAGCTAGAATTCTTCCTTTCCAGCGCCGCAGGCGACATTTTTGGGAATTATGAAGGCCAAGAAGCCAAAAATCTTCCTTTTCCTGCGCCGCAGGCAAAAATTTTGAGAATTTTGGAATCCCGAGGCCAAAAAAATTCACTTTTTCAGCGCCGCAGGCGAAAATTTTTTGAATTTCGGAGCTCAAGAAGCCTGATTTCTTCCATTTTCTGCGCAGCAGGCGAAAATTTTGAGGATTTGGATGGCCAAGCACTTTGTCCAAAAAGGCCAAAAAACCAAGACCAAAAAATAAAACCAAGACAAGACCAAGACAAACACCCCAAGACCAAGACCGAAAAAAAACCGAGAAAAGTCTTGGTTCCAAGACCAAGAGTCTCGGACAGCTCTACTAATTAGATGCGCTAATTTATTTCCCATTCTAACACAAAAAGCCAATATTTGAAAAATATAAAAAATCGTAGAAATTTGTCAAAATGTGGCAAAAAAGTGGCAATGCTAAAAAAGGAGCGAAGGGGGTAATAGTGTCGTTTCCAGTCCCCATTTTTTCCTCCCAATTTTTTACCCTATGTTTGTACGGAATGGTCAAATTTTCCCCTCTTTCAACAAATTTGCCTTTCCATTTTTATCAAAATTGCCTAAACACAATAAAAAAGATTAATTTGTGATTTTCCGCACTTCATTTTCCTTCTATAATAGCCAGAAAACATTTTTATACTTGGTGTTTCTCCTTGTGAAAGAAGAACTGAATAAAAAATTAATCTTTTTGATTGTTTTTAGGCAAAAAAATGGAAAGGCAAATTTGATGAAAGAAAGGGAAAAATTTGACCATTCCGTACAAACATAGGGTAAAAAATTAGGAGGAAAAAATGGGGACTGGAAACGACACTATTACCGCGAAGGGGTTAAAAACGGGAAAATACCCCTGAAAAGAGGTAAAGGGACATCCTGGCATGGATTAAGAATGGATTTTGAGGCCCTCCCCTATACAGGAACCTCATGCCTGGGACCTAACCCCTATGAGTAAAGCAGTCATGCTCTGCTTTATTATATTAGGTCTCAATTATCCCTCTTAATATGCCCTAATACCATATTAAATATTAACCTTTGACTTTCCACTGGAGTTTTTGTTTCTTTTGATTCAGATCTAATAGACTCTTAAACAAGTCAAATACTTATTTTAATTTGTAGGTTCAAAAAAAGATTTATAGAACTCCTTTCGAGCTTATCAAGGATGCAAAAGGCTACATGCGGGTTGGAAACAGCATACAAGCTAGAGAGAAGGTGGTGTTTCTATATCTTAGTTTCGATATTCTTGTTATTTTTAAGGCGTATGCTTGCTATTCCAGCACTATTAAACACTTATATAAACATTTTAATTTGGCTATAGACACTCATAATGCTACAAAATTTCTGGCTAGAATTGCTTGCACTTGTCAACGAGGTTTTGATTGTTTTGGTTCGGTCATCGCTTCCGCTGATGAGTACGTATTTCTTAATTTAGTGATGTCTGTGAAATTTTCTTGGTTAAAAATTTAACTTTTAGTTAGGCTGTTAACATTATTTAACACTATATAACACTTAACACCCGGCTGGGTGCAATTGGAAAAAAATTTCCACAAACGCAATTTTTATCTTAAAATCCGCAAACGCAACAAGTCAAAAAAACACTCAATCTGAGGATATAAGGGGTAATCCGAGAATATAAGGTGATTGGAGATATTAAAGGTGGTATATTGATTCAAAGTATATCAGTGATTTGAGAAATATCAAGGATTAGTGAGTTGATTCTTTTTTCAGTGCCGCAGGCGAAAATTTTTGAAATTTTGGAAGAAATTTTGGAATACCAAGGAGTAAAATTTCCCTATTTTATGGTACTAGAAATCTGGAAAAAATTGCGTAAAAATCTTAAAAATCCGCAAACGCAATCTGTAAATCAGAAAAACACGTAATCCGCAATTACGCCCAGTCTTGGTTACCACTCAGTTATTTCTTATAGTAGAAGTGTTTAATAAAAAGTTTATATTCACCTCTATTTTCACATATTTTTTTCATTTTTAGTATGCACTTGGACCAATTTGAAGTTTTTTATGGATTTGATGAATTAGAAGAAATGATTGACGACATCGAAATATTTAGTTACAAATTTCAATTAATAGACAAACAAAAGGTGAAGGAGAAATTGCAACAGTACTTACCTGAGAAAAAGTGGGAGAAGAAATCTTCTAAGATCGAAGAACACGACATTACGATTAAACTGAAACACAAACCTTTGCCGCATTATATCTCTGGAGCGGGACCATTCCATTATTATTATAAATGCTGTTAAGTACCGAATCTCAACAATTGTGGGTACTTTGAGATTGTCTCTTGCACTCATCCCTGCTGTCAATCATTTTTTTCCTTCAAACATTACAGATAAAAGGCAAGTATTAGGAATGAAAAATAGACGGCAACAGCAAAAATTAACATTTATAATTAAAGAAATTTGATCATTCCGAAGCAGGAAAAATAAAAAAAACAAGAAAATTAATTTGAGAATCAAATAGGTGTAGGGGGGGGGGGGAATATTAATAAAGTACCCAATAGTGTATTTATATTTTTGTTTGACTTTTAAATTTATTTTTGTTTTACCTCAATTCTCGATAAAAAATTATTTTTTTTATTTTAACATTAGCATTGGACAAAATCTTTAATGTTTTGATTATTGATATTATTATCAAGAGATTGTCTGCAATAACACCACCTTCGTCCAAAATAGACACCGCTCTTCAAGAGCTATATGTTTGCGATTAAGTCATACATATTTCCGAAAATCAAAATTATAATAAAGATTTCTTTTTTTTTTTGTTTATAACGGTAGAACACGTCTGAAATTTTCTTCGATTCAGACAATTTTTTTCGATTTACATGAGAATTAAATTGGTTGTGTACTTTTCTTCATTCTCTTCTAGCTATTTTTTATATAATTTTTTTTTTTGCTTCCAAAAAATAATCCGAAGGATAGCTGAATTCCGTACATCGCGCAATGAATAGAAAAAATAAAAAAAATTAAGCAAATACGCCGAAAATTATAAAAACTTTAAAAAAATATTTTACAGTGCATGCAGCAAAAATGTATTCTTTTGGCTTTTTATAGGGTATATTACATATCAGAATATTAAATAAACTTTAATTCAGAATTTAATAAAATCAGAATTATATAAATAAACTTGAAGAGCAATAATTTTTAAATAAACTTAAATTCGATATTTAAGGGAAAAATCAGAATTTTTGTTTAAATTAAACTTGTTTGACAAACTGTAAAAAATAAACTTGAAAATCAGAATTAAACATAAATAAACTTATTTGAACATTAAAAAATCAGAATTTACAATTATAGAAAGAAATCAGAATTTTTTTAAAACTTGTTTTACAAACATTAAAAAATAAATTCTGAAAATCAGAATTTTTATCAGAATTTATTTAAAACATGTTTTAGGTGTTTTGTTTCAGGTTTTTTGTTTCAGGTTTTTTGTTTCAGGTTATTACTAGCTACTAAGCATTGTCCAACGGTCAATTGCTTATCTTCGTATTTTTTTTAAATTTAATTCAAAAAAAATTAAAATAATCTTTTTATTTTATCTTCCCTATATTTTTCCACGTATTTACTATTTTATTTATTTTTTTTATTAAAAAAATAATTTTTTTATTTCGCCCACTCCCCTCTCCCTATACACAACCGGGGCTCTTATGTTTGTTATTTTATTTTTTTTTAATTTTTTTTATTTAGGCATTCCAGTTCTTTTTCTTTAAAAACACCATTCTGCACCTTTCTCTCATATTTTTATTTGCTCTTTGGTTTCTTGTATTTTTTTAAAAAACTACTAAATACTCGCAGGAATTTTTCTGTCAGTGTTTGATGGCTGGCGAATCCAATTTTATTCTCCCTAGATTTTTTTAAATTTTTTTATTACTAAAATATTTATTTTTTTTGAAAATTGGTTTAAAAATAATTAGGTATTTTACTGCAGAAATTTTTGCTTCAAGTTTAATTATCATAAAAATTCTGATTCCAAGTTTATTTAGTATCTGCAAAAATTCTGATTTATTAATTCAAGTTTATTTTATTCCAAGTTTAATTTTTGTAAATTCTGATTTTTAAATTTCTAAAATTCTGATTTAAAGTTTTAATATATTTATTTGTAAAAATTCTGATTTTCAAGTTTATTTTTTAATTCTGAAAAAGTTTATTTATTTATTCTTTTATTCTGATTTTTAATAATTCAAGTTTATTTTTTTCAAGCTTTGAAAATTCTGATTTTGAATTTTCTAAAATTCTGATTTCAAGTTTTAACATAATAAAATAACTAAGTTTTTTTATTTCGAGACTGAAAAATAAATATATAAAATTGTAGACAAAGTAAATGGGACAGAGAAATAGGACAGAAGGCAACAAAAACAATCAAATAAAAAAAATATTTAAAAAAACTTAAAAATAGCTGAGTTGGCGCCGAGCGAAAGACAATTACTAAAATAAAAAAAATTTCGAATAAAAAAAATTTTTTTAGTAAAAATGGACATTTAAGTCTTGTTATTAAATCATTAATTAATTTTAAATTATTTTTAATGCTACAAAAGTTTGTTTAATAAAAAAATTCTGATTCTAAGTTTATTTATTAAAATAATTTCTGATTTTAAAGTTTATTTTTTTATTATTCTCATAATTCTGATTTTTAATAAAAATTCTGATTTTAAGTTTCTTTTTTATTTCAAGTTTATTTTCAAGTTTTAATTAAAATCAGAATTTTTTAAATTAAAAATTCTGATTTTAATTAAAAGAAATTCTGATTTCAAGTTTTATTTTCTGCTTCAAGTTTTTAATTAAAATCAGAATTTCTTTAATTAAAAATTCTGATTAAATAAATACTCTAATATTCCCTCCCTCTCTCCGTCAATCTGTTTGTGTACTACAAAGAGAAGACTTCTCCCGCTACCAGCCGCCTATTTTTTGTATTGTTTTTTATTCACAGCTATTTTTTGCATTAAAAGGGGCGAGCAACTGACAGAAAATAAAAGAGAAAAAAAAAATTAGAGAAAATGCGGGGAATAAAAAAAATTGTGTGGAATTAGGGACAGTAGAGTCTGAGAAAGTTGGAAAAATCAGAATTTCTGGTCCAAGAAATTTTTAAATTATCGGTGGGGGCATTGAATACGGTAATTATTCTTGCCTTCATTTTAAGGGTCTTTAGAGTCTGGAGTCATATTTTTAATAAAAAAATTTTTATACTCTAATGTCCCCTCTTGTCAAGTGAGTAGAATGGATGATGGAAAAAATAAAAAAATTCGGAAAAAAAATTATTGGGGTGAAATAAAAAAAATAAATGGCGAAGACGGTTGGACGATGACTTTTTTTTGTATACTTAGAGCTGTGGGGGAAGGAGGCGGTCACGAGCTAGTAAAAGTGCAAAATCAGTTTGTGTCTACTCCTTCCGACTGTCCGTTTTATTATTATTTTTATATCTTCTGTTTATTTTATTTTAATAATTCTGATTTAAAAATCAGAATTTAAATAATTAAACTTTAAAATAAACTTGAAAATAAACTTGAACAAATTTAAATCAGAATTTAAATAAACTTGAAATCAGAATTTTATAAAAATTCAGAATTTACATAAATAAACTTGGCAGACCATAAATCAGAATTAATACAAATTCAAAAACTTGAAAATCAGAATTTTGCAAATAAACTTGAAAATAAATCAGAATTATTTAAAGTTTTATACTACCAGAAATTAAACTTAAAAATCAGAATTTCTATTAAATAAAAGTTTGAAATAATTCTGATTTTTAAGTTTATTTATTTTTCTATTCAGATAAATCAGAATTATTAAAAATAAACTTGAAACCAGAATTCTATTGTTTATTTTGCTTCTACATTTTGCTTCAGAAAATTAAAAGTACATTATTTCGCCTCAATTTTTTCCTTACCAATAAAATAAAAAAAATTTTTTTTATTCCAATAAAAAATTACTTGACTAGTCGACAAGTCAATTATTTTTTTGTTTTATTTTTTTTATTTTCATGGGTGGATATATTATTTGAGTCACTCTTTGACTGGCACCCATTTGCTTCAAACAAAACAACGCGACCCTGGCGTTCAGGCAAAAAATTGAAATAAAAAAAAATAAAAAAAAATTATTATTATATTTATTTTTGAGTAACGGAAATTTATTTATAAGTGAGAAGGGGGTAAGGTAATTTTATTTATTTTTATTTATTTAATAATTTATTTTTACTTTATTTGGAATATTTAATAAAACAATAATTCTGGTTTCAAGTTTATTCTTGTTTCAAGTTTATTTAATAAAAATTCTGATTTTAAAAATAAGTTTATTTTCTGGTATAATTAATTCAAGTTTATTTCTTATATTCTGATTTTAAAGTTTAATTTTTTTCTTCTAAAATTCTGATTTTAAGTTCTGATTTTTTATTTCAAGTTTATTTATTTCATGTTTTAATTAAAATCAGAATTTCTTTTGATTAAAAATTCTGGTTTCAAGTTTAATATATTCTAAATTCTGGTTTAAAGTTTGTTTATTAGAAATTCTGATTTTAAAAGAATTCAAGTTCATTTCAAGTTTCTAATCTTAAGTTTCTGATCTCATGTTTCAAGTTTATTTCTTTTACAAATTGTAATTGGTCTTCAAATATTTTTAATATTATTCTGATTTCAGGTTTATTTTCAACTGCTTGTTTTTACAAATTGTAATTTTATTTGTAATTGTATTTTTTCCCTTAAATTTCGAAATTTATTTTTAATTATTTTTTAAACTTTTTTTTTCTCAATCACACTATACAATATTTATTTTTTTATTAAAAAAATCATTTCTAAACAAAAATTTTCTTTACTCCTCCATTCAATCATTTATTCTTCTCTCAACACATCTCTTACATTTTTACCATTTTTTGCTTTATTTTTTGTATTTTCCCCCATTTTCTTTCTTTCTATTCGTCATAGGCTCGTAAAAATAAAAAAAATTTTTTTTATAAAAAAACTTTTTTTTGTTACTCACTGTTTGCCGTCGCTCATTTTTGCTCTTTTTAAATATAAACAAGAATTGTAATTTATAAGAGTACTATAGTTATAAATATAGCAACATCCCTTTTTATTTCACAGTAAAATTTAAGGTTCCACAAAGATCAGAATTAAATAAAAACATTTCCAAGAATTTAATTAAATCAGAATTAAATTCGAACATCTATCATAATTTAACTTTCTACAAACATCAGAATTAATTTCAAACATTCAACAAAAATCAGAATTAAATTAAAACATATCAAACAAAACTTACGGAAAAATCAGAATTTTATCCGAACATCTATCATAATTAAACTTTCCGTAAAAACAAAAAAAAAACACAAAAATTAAAACAAATAAAAACCAGAATTTTAAACAAACAACGATCAGAAGTTCAAATAAACAAAATCAGAATTTAATTCAAACACAATCAGAATTTTAAACAAACTTCTCAATTAATTAAACAAACATTTAAGGTTATTTTAAACTCAGAAAAATGTCAGAAAAACAACAACAATCTAATAATACTAAAAACATTTCCAACATATCACGTCGCCGTAAATCACCACAAATACAATCATCAACATCATCATCACAAATTGAACAACAACAATCTACGCCTAGTCCACCATTAAATGAACAATCCCCTCAATTATTAATTGGAAACAACAACAATAATGTGGACCAACAACAGAGGTGATTTTTAATTTTGTTTAGCTTTTTTTTTTTAATTTTTTTAAATTTTTGGATGATGACATACACTTACCTCATTCATAAAAATAAAGATTTTTTATGGATTTAATTGTTAATCCTAACTTTTCTTTTTTTATCCGTTAAAGTACATTAGTCAAAAAAGTTATAATTACTTTTTCTGTTTTTTTTTAAATTCTGATTTATGATGTTTATTTTTAATTCTGGTTTAGAATTTAATTCAAGTTTATCAATTACTCATGTTTATTTAGAATTCTGATTTAAATTTTATTAATGTTCATTTGAAATTCTGATTTTAAATTAAATAAACTTGAATTAAAAATCAGAATTTTAAACGAACATTGGAACGAACTTTATTTAATGTTCATTTAAAATTCTGATTTCTAATTAAAGTTTATTTAATGTTTATCTAAAATTCTGATTTTAAATTCAGGTTAACTAAATAAACTCGAATTAAAAATCAGAATTTTAAACAAACATTGAATAAACTTTATTTAATGTTCATTTAAAATTCTGATTTTTAATTGTTTTTTCCCCATGTTCAGATCTCAACTTCACCTTTCCGGAATGCGAACAGCCTCCTCTTTAGCAGAATGGCAACTACAGGCAGTTCTTTACCGTGCCCGACTTACCCAATATTTTGATGTGTTTATTTCACAAGGGGGTGATGACATTGACCAAATTATGCAATGTGACGAAACCGAATTTCTCGAGATTATGTCTTTGGTTGGAATGGCTTCCAAACCTCTCCATGTCCGCCGCCTACAGAGAACTTTAAGCGAATTTTCTGTTAATCGAGCACAATTTTTGATTACTACTGTTCCCTTTATTGGTATAATTTCAAATTTTTTATTAAAAAATTTTGTAAATTTTTAAGGTCTTCCTCCAATAGATTTCCCTAGCACTTCATCATCCACAGATAATTTAACGGCAGCTTTACAATTTTTAGTTCCTGGCTATCTCCCTTCTACCGGCCAACTTGATTTAACGGCAACATTAACTCAACAACTAAATAATCAACAAACTCCTTTTATTGACCCAGACTTTCTTTTTCCGTTAAATCCAACCCCTCCGCTAAGTTGTCCGGTAACTACAAGTTTTCAACAAAATAGTGGTAAGAATATTAGTGGAGGTTAAAATCAGAATTTGAATAAAACTTGGAATTAAACCAGAATTTAAATTAAACATGAGTATGAAATCAGAATTTGAATAAAACTTGGAATTAAATCAGAATTAAAATTAAACATGAGTATGAAATCAGAATTTGAATAAAACTTGGAATTAAATCAGAATTAAAATTAAACATGAGTATGAAATCAGAATTTGAATAAAACTTGGAATTAAATCAGAATTTAAATAAAACTTGGAATTAAATCAGAATTAAAATTAAACATGAGTATGAAATCAGAATTTGAATAAAACTTGGAATTAAATCAGAATTTAAATAAAACTTGGAATTAAATCAGAATTAAAATTAAACATGAGTATGAAATCAGAATTAAAATAAAACATTAATTTAAATAGATCAGAATTTATTTAAAACATGAGTAAACCAGAATTTAAATAAAACAATTTTTAAAAATCAGAATTAAATAAAAACAAAGTTTAATTAAATCATAACTTAATTTAATTAGAAACAAACTTGAAAATCATAATTTATTTTAAAAAACCAGAATTTATAAATCAGAATTTAATTAAAACTTGGAATTAATTTAAATCAGAAATTAATTAAAACAGGAATTAAAAATCAGAATTTAAATTAAACATTAATATAAAATCAGAATTATTTCCAACATTTATTTTTAATTAAAAATATACAAATAGTACATATTTTTAAAATTTGTTTTAGCAACAACATCCTCATTTCCCCCCTCACTTTCATTATCACAACATATTTTGCTTAGCCTTGTAAACCCAACAACAACTTCCAGCATTTTAAATCAACAACCTTTATTTTTTGATAATTTTAATAAAAGGGCAAGAATGTCATTTTCACCCCCTCCTAATACACCCCCATCTTCTGGGAGTGTTTTATTTGCTAAGGAAGCAAAAGAAGAACCAGAGCAAATTAATTGTAATGAGGAGGAGAATACAACAATGATACAAAATCAGAGTAATAAATTTAATAAAATCAGAATTTAAATTAAACATGAAATTAAATTAAAGCAGAATTTAATTAAAACATGAATTAAAAATCAGAATCTAAATTAAACATGGAATAGAATAAAACCAGAATTTAATTAAAACATGTTTTATTAAATCAGAATTAAATAAAAACAAAGTTTAATTAAATCAGAACCAATCTAGCAAATCAGAATTTTTTAAAATCAGAATTTACATAAACAAAATCAGAATTTTTTAAAATCAGAATTTACATAAACAAAATCAGAATTTTTTAAAATCAGAATTTACATAAACAAAATCAGAATTTTTTAAAATCAGAATTTACATAAACAAAATCAGAATTTTTTAAAATCAGAATTTACATAAACAAAATCAGAATTTTTTAAAATCAGAATTTACATAAACAAAATCAGAATTTTTTAAAATCAGAATTTACATAAACAAAATCAGAATTTTTTAAAATCAGAATTTACATAAACAAAATCAGAATTTTTTAAAATCAGAATTTACATAAACAAAATCAGAATTTTTTAAAATCAGAATTTACATAAACAAAATCAGAATTTATTTAAAAATCAGAATTTAAACAAAATCAGAATTTTTTAAAATCAGAATTTAAACAAAACATTAATTAATTTCCAGTATTTCCTCCACCTTCATATTCCTCTTGTTCCTCACCTTCTTCCAACGAGCGTTTAAACGAAACCGAACTGCATCGTTTGTCTCAACTTGCGAATGAATTAATTAATTTATTACCCCCAAAATTAGAACCAAAAAAACGTTTGGAGAGGTAAAAAATTATTTTTTATTTTTAATTAAAAATATTTTTCAGAAGCCTATTGGAGGCTCTAGCATTGCCACAAGACGACCCTCTACGTGTTGAACATTTTCGCCTTTTCTCAAGATTCTATGGGCGTTTTGACGCTAAACGCCGTTCAGACAGGACTTTAACTAGGCATGAAAGTGTAGTTAATGAAGCGGCTGCTCAATTATGTTTATTAAGGCCTGATTTGCTCACAAGAAGAGATCAACTCTTTCCGCTAGCGAGAAAAGTAAAAAAATAATTATGGTCAAGACCTTTCTTTGTGATACTTACAATACGAGGCACACCTCTGTTTAAGAGACGTTTTTAAAATTTAAAGGATACCCTCTATTTAATATACACCCCATTATAAGGTAAAAGGTATAGTCAAAACCTCTCTATAATATACCCCCAATACTAGGCACACCTCTATTTAAAAGACGCCTTTTTAAATTTGTTTGGGTGGCAACAAATTTATATGTGAAACAAATTTATATATATATCTTCATATGTGAATATCCCCTATTTGAAATCCACCTCACTATAAGACAAATGTTTCCATTCCCTTTTTTTAGTTAGCCCGAATGTTTGAAACGCCCACTGGCAATAGTTTCTCCTCGTTTTTAAATTCATGTACAAATAATTCGAGTACATCGCCAGAGCATTCTCCAACAGAGTTTTCTGGGGAAGACATTGAGGGTAGAGAAGAAAAATATAAAAGGGAGCAAGTAGAAGAGGATGAAGAAGAGGAAGAATTGAAGGAAGAGGAGGAAGAGATGAAGAAAATTGAAGAAAAGAAGGGAATTGGGCAACTGTGAAATCTGACCATTTTAGGTACTTTTCCGTTCTGCCATCCCCTACATTAATACTCAAAATGTCATATATGGGGTAATAAAAGGTGCTGAGTCGAACGGTACCACTCTTTTTCCCGGACGGTATCACTCTTTTCCCCCTTTTGAATGAGCAATTATTTGCATATTCGAATTTTCCACCCCAAAAATGTGGATACTCCCCTCCATGGTTTTTCGATTACCGGGGACCTATATCTACTGGCATCTTCGGGAAAAGAGTGGTACAGTTCGACTCAGCACCTTTTATTACTCCATATATGACATTTTGAGTATTAATGTAGGGGAGGTGGCAGAACGGAAAAGTACCCATTTTACAAGTTGACTATTTTATAATTCTGACCATTTTGAAAATTTTACATTTTGAAAATTTTACATTATGTAATTTATTAACAAACAAATATTTAAATTTAAAATTTTCTATAGTTGCGATTTTTCAATTTTTAAAATTTTTCCGAATCCCTATTAATCCATTTTTGTTGTTCCATTCTTCATTGAATGCTGCTCTTCAGTTGGTTTCTTAGCCTTTTCCCGGTTAAATTTCTTTCCACCTCCACGAATATAAGAATGATAGAAAAAGTTGCCAAAAAGTGCAACATAACTAATTTCCATCAAAAGACAGTACAAATAAGAGGTGACAGCTTTAAATAATTATTTTGTAAGGAAAGGGTAGGTATGAGTAGTAGATGAAGTTGGACATGTAGGACACCAACCATTTGCGGACATGTAGGACACCAACCGGACATTTACCGGACGTCAGGATTCCTGATATGGTTGGGGGCCCGGTACGGTATGAAAGATCGAGTCGGGCATATACTAATTTTGGCCCGAAAAGGACTCGGTAGATCCGTTCCGACTCGAAAACCCCAACCCTAATCCCTGATATAACTACTGGAATGACCAAAGTTTTACAAAAAAATTTTTCCTTTACTTGTATCAACACGCAATCCATTAACCATTCTAATACCAGCATGTGCCAATATAGCCAAAGTTATAAGGAATTGGGTTATTTGTGCAGACGTTAAGCACTGTGCAAACCATGCCGGAAGTCTTATTTTGCAAGCAGCTAGGAAATAGTAGGAATACATTACTGCATGGACTGAAAAGTTGAGCCAGACAATCCTTCAATATTTTCCTTTCAAAAAAATTTTTTTTCCCAAAAATTTACCAAGAATTAAAGGCTGTGTTGTCTACGTAGGACATTAGTCCATAATTGAGTGTGGCTACGTGGTGGTACCAATGCTTTGAATTTTTTAAATTTTTTAAATTCAAATTTTTGGGTTACCAAGAAGATGAGGGGACGTTTTCGCAGCACAATAAATATCGTATCGCCAAGTTCAGCAAATTTTGAAATACAGAACCTTTAAATTAGGGAGATTATATAACTTTGATTTCTTGGTACTATAATGACGCATTTTAGAAGATTGTCATTTTAAGACAATAATGTCCATTTAATGAAGATGTTGGGACTCTAATAGACAACCCTTAAACGGGTACAGCCCGATTTGTCGAAAATCTTGTGGAAATAGGAAGACGATATGGCCTTGCGACAAATTGGGCCTGTTCCCCCTTAAAATGTGAGAGGAAAATCCTCGAGACTCTAGAGACTTTAAGAAACATATTAAGACTCTAATAACCTTATAATAACATTTCAGACTCTAATAACAGGTTGAGACTCTAATAGACTTTTGAGAATCTAATAAATAGCTTAAGACTCTATTAAATATTTTTGCGACTCTAATAAACCCATTTCAGACCCTAATGACAATGTTGAGACTCTAGTGACCAAAATTCTAAATAAATTTAAAAATGACCAGAAAGTCCAAAGACCAACTGTTCCCTCAAAAAAGCTTCCTATTTTTGTGTAAGACGCAACTAATCCATCTCCAAAGAAAATTTCCCGAATGAGTCCGTAACTAGTCACAATAGAACCCAAAATACTGTAAAAAAGTTTATTTTTAATTTAATAAAGTTTTAATTATTTAAGTAGGCGTTGTTGACCTAGGCTGCTTCTAGGCTTTATAACTAGTTACTAAATAGTCAGATTTGGATGTTTTTGGTATCATTCGATAGAGAATTAAATTTGCTATAAGATCAGTCTAGAAAAAAATTCTAGTTTAGCTTTTAAAAAAGTTATTGTCAAAAAACTGTCGAAAAAGTCTTTCTGAAAAGTGGAGAGAGGTTCATTTCAGAATTTATAACTCTCCAACGGATTTATCATTAAAGACTATTTTGATAACATTCGATAGAGGATTAAATTTGCTACAAATTGGTCATAAAATAAAATTTTTAGATTGAATTTAAAAATAAGTTGAGGTCGAAAAACATACAAATATGCTTGCTTTGTCTAAAATGACTTTGAGTTTTTTGACCTTAAATTTTTTTGTTGATTTATTAAAAATTAAATTTTTATTTAATTTTGTAGAGAATTTAATTCTCTATCGAATGGTATAAAAATAATTTCTAGAAGGTTAACTGTTCGGGAGTTATAATTTAAAAACTGAACTAAGGTCATCATTCTAGATGAGTTTAAAAATTAATTTTAAATTATTTTTATTTTCAAGTTTTAATTTTAAATTTTTTTCCAACCTAAATAACGCCAACCAAGCATTCCATAATTGCAGACTAAGTGATATTTGTAAAGGTTTACGTTCCTTCATAAACCATTGAATGCCGAATATGGCAATCACGTAGAGTGTAGCTACCCAAATACCCTTAAGAATTTATTTGTTTCTATTAAAAAATATTTTTTTGGGAATTTTCTGGGTTTTTAAGTTATTTTAAAAAATTTTTTAAATTTCAAAAATTTCAGAAAATTTTCAGAAAATTTCTAAAAAAATTTTTAAAAATTTCCAAAAAAAAATTTTTTCTTCAACTTACCGCCCACTGAACAGATTCCGTGTAAACTTTAGCAGCTTGAAAATCAAAAGGTTGGCTTAGTGAAACGGAAAGGAATGACGGAGGCGAAGGGGAGTTTGAAGAGGTTGCAGTGGACATTTAAGTGTGACAAAAATAAAAAAATAAAAAAATAAAAAATTAATTTTTACAAAATTAACCAAAAAATAAATAAAATAAATTTTAAACAGAAAATATTTAAATGAATAAGGGAGAGTGGTTCGATTGTTTTTTATCTTAATAAAAATTATAAAGAGGTAAAAGCCTGCTGATATGGGGTGACAATTATTTTTATTTATTTTAATAAATTTAATAAATTAAGAAAAAATAATATTTATTTTAATTTTTAATAAATTAAAAAAAAATAAAAAAAAAAAGAATTATTTGGGGGTAAATTCTGAATTATAAGCAAACTTGTTCTGATTTTATTTTTAAGAGTTTCCGGAAAACACAACACACTTACTTATATTTTTCCGGAAAACATTCCTTAATTTTCCGGAAAACACACTTATATTTTTCCGGAAAACTTTATTCACAATTTTCCGGAAAGTTTTATTTAACACTTTTCAGAACAATTTATTTGTTCTTTTCCGGAAGGGGTTTATTTACTACATATTTTCCGGAAAACTTTTTAATTGTAGTCGAGGCTGTGCGCCAAGGCGTTTGGCGTTCATTTTTGGCGTTTTGCTTTTGGCGTGTTTTAAAAATTTGAAAAATTGGTGTTTGGCTTAACAACACGATACTCCTTATTTCATTCTGTCGTTTTAGTCCGTACGGTAAAAAAACAAAATTTTGGCGCACAACCTGGTTGTAGTAGTAATTGTAAGCTATTAAATTATTGTTGAAATTTGGAAAAAAAATTTCAAATTGTCAATAGTAAAATGAGTTAGACGATAAATTTTTTATTTTTAAATTTCAAAATTAAAATTTAAGAGGAAAATTTAAGGATGACGAATCGAATAATTTTACAAAAAAATTAATTGAAAACAAGTCTTTAAAAATTAAAAATTTTTAAAAATTAATTAATCAATTTTGTTCTCTCTCAGCTGTTCATCGTCGCACATCAGCAACATTTTTTAAAATAAAAAGGAAAATAAATTAGGGTTGCGCCCCGACCCCGACTAACCCCGACCCCGACCCCGAACCCCGACACTTTTTGACCTAAAACCCCGACCCCGACCCCGACATTCCCAACCCCGAAAACCCCGACCCCCGAAAGTTCGACCCCGACGACCCCGAACCCCGAAAAATTTTTATGACCCCGACTCAAACTGCATTAATTAACTAGAGATCGGAACGGGATCGGGACTTTGATGTTAAATATATGAAGGAAAAGGGAAATGAATATTTATATTTTCTCCTATTTCCTTTTGTTGGTCGGTGGGCGAGTGGTTAGGTTAACTGACTTCACCCATCTAGCTATTTTGATAGGTATGGTGTTCGAATACATCGATTGAAATGAGACTGAGAAAATTTTTCTTCTCAAAAATAAATATTTTTAAACTTTGATCTTGATTTTAAATATGCAAATTTATTTTTTTTAATATTTTAAACCTGAAAAAATTTTAGAAATTTTAAACTAGTCATGAATTTTCCAAAATTTTCACCTGTTGCGTAGAAAATGGAAGAAATCTGTCTCTTGGCCTTCCTAAATTCTAAAAATTTTCGCCTGCGGCGCAGAAAATGGAAGAGATCTGGCTCTTGACCTTCCAAAATTCTCAAAATTTTTGCCTGCGGCGCTAAACTCAATGAAGGGATACAGAGGCTTTAGGAGAAATTGATGGATAGATGGATTTCTCCAGTTATACTTGCAAATCCCCGATATCTCTTCAAATCCCTCTAAATCCCATTATATCCATCTTAATCCTCTGATATGCCTTCATATCCCCTCACTCCCTTTAAGAGGGGGAGTAAGAGTTACCTTGTGGGTTTGGGGATTATGAAGGATAACTTGGATAAAGTACTTCTTGCGCCTTCAACTAATAACGAATTAGATTTAGAAAGTGAAGATAATGAAGATTAAGTTGATTTTTTAATAAAAATGTTGATTTTGCACAGTAATATTGGATAAAAATGCTGGATTTTGTAAATTTTCACTTCAACCCCGACCCCCGACCCCGACCCCGAACCCCGACATGATTTTCAGCCCCGACCCCGACCCCGAACAATTTGAGCAACCCCGACCCCGACCCCGACTTTGTCAACCCCGAAAACCCCGACCCCCGACTTTTTCAACCCCGAAGGCTCGGGGCGCAACCCTAAAATAAATATATAAAAGTATCTTTATTTTTGAAAATTAAAATTATATTTTTAAATTTAAAATAAATTTCCTCAAAAATCAGAAAATTTTTGTAAATTACAACTCTTTTGTTGTAATTGTGTTTTGTTTGTGTTTTATTTTAATAAATTTAATTAAAAACAATATTTGCTCTTGTTTGTCATTTTTCCTGAAAACTTTTTTTCTGATTGTTTTTTAGTTAAATTCTGGTTTGTTTATCTAAAATTCTGTTATTTAAAGTTTGTTTAAAATTCTGGTTTTTATTTGTTTTATAATAGTTTTTCTGTTTTTTGTTTTTCCGGAAAGTTTAATAACAATTATAGCTCGGAGAAACTTTCCGGAAACAATCAGAATTTAATCCGAACATTTTACAAAAATCAGAATTGAATAAAAACATCTACAACAAAATTCTGGAATATATGTTCGAATTTAATTCTGATTTATTTAATTCTGATTTATTTAATTCTGATTTTTGTAAATGTTTGGATTAAATTCTGATGTTTCCGGAAAATTTTATTAGGATAGAAGTTCAAATTAAATTCTGATATTTCCAGAATTTTGTTATAGATGTTTTTATTTAATTCTGATTTTTGTGGAAGGTTCAGATTAAATTCTGATTGTTTCCGGAAAGTTTATTCGTTCTTTTTCCTGAAACATTTATTTGTTCTTTCCGAAAACCCCTTATAAATTATTCCAACTTTTCCGGAAATATTCAATAATTAATATGTAAATATTTCTATTTTATGTCAACCTAAAATATATGCCCATCAATTTATTTATTTATATACTCAAACCACAAAATAATTTTACTTTTTACGCTTTTAGTGAGGTCATCTACAAGTCAGTCCCGCATACATGACCGGCTCTTTTTATATTTTTGCTCATCCTCCCAAAAATTAAAAAAAATATTTTTGCTTTAATAAATTGCCTTTATCTACCAGAGACTCTAATGAACCAAATGAAAATTTCAAAACTTTACTGAACTCTAATTAAATTAGGGAACTAAATGACTAAAAAGGGTGTCATTGAGACTCTAAAGAGCAATAAATTTTTAAGAGTATTTAGTGAGACTCTAGTGTCCCCTTTTGTTTTTCCCTCTAAATTCGAGACTCAACTAGACCAAATGAAAATTTCAAGACTCTAATAGACTCTAAATTAATATAGGTGACTCAAATGGCTAAAAAGGGTGACATTGAGACTCTAAAGGCATCTAATGACATCGAGCCTCTAAGCCTCCTCATCGAACTTCTTTAGGAGACTTTAGGGAGACTTTATTGTCCTCTTTTTGTGTTTTAAGAGTCTGACACCCTTTTAATTTAATTTTTATTGCATTACTCAATTCTTTATTTTAACGAATTTTTGTTTAAAAGCATTATTTTCTTTTTTTTCTATTTTCACTTATCGGCATTTCCCTCTTTATAAATAAAAACAAGCCTTGGTGTTAATTTCATTAATCCATTTGCGACTCAGTTTTGCCTTTCTACAGCTTTTTGCTGTGGCTATATTTTTGCATGTTTTTATATTTATTTTTACGTCTATTTTGGCTATTTTTTTGAGAAAAAAAATTTTTTTTGAGGAAATTTTTTGTTTTTAATACCCTCTTAATACCCTATTAAGTCAAAGATCAACAAGGCTTTAAGGCTTATAATTTTTTTTAAAAATCTGCTTTTCTAGTAATTTTTTTCTGTTTTTCGATAGAGGAAAGTTTGGGCTACTAAATAATATTAAAATTTGTTTTTCCAACTTTTACAAGTTTTTAAAATTAAATGAAAAAACAGACACTTAGTAGAATTATTGAGATTTGAGGTCGTTCTATTTGGAAACCCATAACTTTTTTCAGAATGAATATATTCTTTCAATTTTTAATTTTTCTTATAGAAGAGAGTTTGGGCTATAAAATGGTACTAGTTTAGTTTCTGTAGCTGTTGAGTTCAAAAAGTTATAGTCAAAAAACTGACTTTAAGCATTGCTTTATTTTGAAAGGTTATTTTACTTAGGAGCTCATAACTTTTTTTCGCAAAATCCTCTCATACTCTACTTTATATCATTCGATAGAGGAGAGTTTGGGCTATTAAATAATACTAGTTCAGTTTCTGTAACTGTTGAGTTCAAAAAGTTATAGTCAAAAAACTGGCTTTGGACATTGCTCTCGTTTGAGTGACTGCTTTACTTAAAAGCTCATAACTTTCTTCTAGAATCTCCTTTCACGCTCTATTTAATACCATTCGATAGAGGAGAGTTAGGGCTATAATATGATACTAGTTCAGTCTCTATAGCTTTCGTTTTCAAAAAGTTATATGCAAAAAACTAACTTTTGGACACTCCTCTAGTTTGAGTGACTGTTTTACTTAGGAGCTCATAACTTTCTTTCAAGAGATCCTTTCACTCTTAATTTTATACCTTTCGATAGAGGAAAGAATTCTCTATAAAATGATACCTTTTAATTTTATAAATCTTTAAATTTCACAAAGTTATAGACAAAAAACTGCGCCCACTACCTCCCTCTCCCAAAATTTTTTCAACAAAAATTGTCGCTGAAACCCCTTTAAATAAATATGCCTGCACCAAAACATCCTTTATTAAATAGCCACATTTCCAGCCAAGTCAGTCAGAAACCAACCGGACACCCTAATATAGCCAGAAGCTACTAGCACCTCGCGTGTGTTTGTTGTTGCCCCCATTTCCGCCTATCCTTTTATTTTCTTCTCCTTTCAGCTCTCTTCCAATGAGGACTAAAAAATGAGAGAAAAGAGAGAAGGGGGCACCCAAATCTAATTTTTTCGGTAACCAACCTATTTTCACCCAAAACAAAAAAGAAAAAGGTTCTCAAATTGACAATTCCTCAATTACACAAAATTTACCCTTTAAAACCTGACCAATCTCCTTTTTTTCTTTGAAAAATTGTTTTGGAGTAATTTTGGGGGAGAAAAAATATTTTTTCCTTTCTAGGACAAGATTATAAATATTTTTTAAAATTAAATATAGGAAGAAATATTGTTATGGCATTAATTTGGCATTGTGTTATTTTTGGCGTTAAAATGAATTTTTTGGCATTTTGTGATTTTTGGCGTTAAAATTAAAATTTTTGGCGTTAAAAAGAATTTTTTGGCATTATGTTATTTTTTGGCGTTAAAATTAAAATTTTTGGCATTTTGTGATTTTTCGGCGTCAAAATTAATTTTCTCGGCATTTTGTTATTTTTTTGGCGTTAAAAATTTTTTTTTGGCGTTGTGATTTTTTTCCGTTAAAATTAAAATTTTTTGTCATTCTGTGATTTTTGGCGTTAAAATAAATTTTCTTGGCATTATGTTATTTTTTGGCATTAAAAAGAATTTTTTGGCATTTTGTGATTTTTTTGGCGTTAAAAAATTTCTTTGGCGTTGTGATATTTTTAAAATTTTTTATCAATAACCGACTAAAGACAATTAATTATTTTTTCTTATTCTCATTTTTACTCAAAAATTTTCCTATATTTAATATTGACCCAATAAAAAAAAGATGCTTTCCCCAAAAACATTTTTTCTTCAAGACATCCAGCAGAAGAAGGGAGGGAGACTGTTCTCCCCACTCATTTCACTAATTTTAATGAGACCCACATATATTCCAGCCTTATATTATTCTTTTTTTAGTCTTTTAGTGCCAACCCTCTAGGGGGGAGAGGACAGCGCGCGCCACGCCAAATTACCGCCAACCAACTGTCTGAAATAAATGAATAAAAAAACAATTCTTTTATGAGCTTATCTTTTTTTATATTTTTTCGGAGAAATTTTTGGGGAAACTAGAAAAAAATATTTTTTGTTCTAAACAGACTCTAAAGACCCCTAATTTTAAGAAATTATAAATACTTTTGTAACCCTTTAGTGCGAGGACTTTCAGGTCTCTGACCCAATTTGACAATCTCAGAACCTTATAGCCCTTTTGGACCAATATTAAGTCCCATATTCTAAAGGCCTAGACTCTTATGGCCACATTTGAATCATTTCAGATTTATGACCCTTCTGAACTAAAACACAAGCCTACGACTCTAAAGACCTCATTTAGATAATCTCAGACTCTTTTAATCCAAACTAACTCATATCAGATTCTTCTGACCCTTTTGGGCTAATATTTAAGTCCTAGACTCTAAATACCCTATTTTTTACATGTCAGACTCGTATGCCCCTTCTGAACTAAAACACACGTCTACGACTCTTATGACCTCTTTTAAGTCCTCTCAGACTCTCGTGGACCTGTTATAGCTTAATTTCAAATCTCAGACTCTAAAGCCCCCAAAAATATATCCCTAGACTCTAAATACCCTATTTACCGTGTGCCTGACTCTTATGACCCTTCTGACCTTCTGAACTAAAATACAAGTCTACGACTCTTATGACCTCATTTAAATCACCCGTGACTCTCTTGGACCTTTTCAGCTCAAATTTAAATCTTAGACTCTAAAGACCCTCAAAAAATATACCCCTCGACTCTTGTGGACCTCTATTTACCATATGTCAGACTCTTATGACCCTTCTGAACTAGAATACACGTCTACGACTCTAAAGACCCCATTTAAATCACCCAAGACTCTTATGGACCTTTTCAGCTAAAATTCAAATCCCAGACTCTAAAGACCCCCCAAAATCTATCCCTCGAAAATACAAAAGAAAAGCGCAGTTATTTTACCTCTTTTTTTAACTTTAAAAGGGGAAATGCACAAAACTCTTGTCTAAATATAAAAAAAATTTGGTTGCCCCAACTACGTTAAAAAAGAGGGTTATTTTACTTTTATTAATTAGCCGTTTAAATAAAAAAATATTGTTTTTATTGTTATTTCCTCAACAAAATTTTTCCCCTTATTTTGTCTTTAAAATTGTATAAAAGGAAAAAAAAAGGAAATGCGCGAGGGAGGGAGGAAAGAAAAAGTTTTTTTACTTAAATATCTTAAGGTTGTCACTAAGGCAAAACTTGGGTAAAAAAAGAAAAATTTTCTTTTTGCAATTATTTTAGCACGATATTATTACTTGAAATTTTGTTAAAGTGCAAATTTGTTTTTAAAAATATAGACGAGATTTCATTATAAGATACCCTCAATATTAGGTACACCTCTATTTAAGAGATAGCTAAATGGGGGATTATATCCCCCATTTAAAATACCCCTTATTATAGGGGTTGACTAGCGCTACAGTCGAAATCTCTACAAGACACCCGATACACCTCTATTTAAGAGACGTGTTTTAATTTTTTGACCTGAATGGAAAGATGCTTTGGAGATACCCCAAAACCTCATAATAAGATACCCCAAAATACACCACAGTTTAAGATGCGTTTTTACCCTGGAACACCTCCAATTTACGGAACGGGCCAGTTGAGCGTGGCCGGTTGAGCGTCAGCCAACATTGATCGGCTATAACTTTTTTCCGCTTGATTCAATACTAATGAAACATATATCATTCGAAAGCCCTCGTTAAACGCTATATTTGTTTCAATTGGATGGATCATGATTGATCGTTATTTAAAAAGTTACAAGTCGATAAGTGTGAAAAACAACGATTTTCTGCACTTATCGACTTATAACCTTTTAACCGGGATCAGACTTGATCCATCCAGTTGGGATAAAGATTGGACTCATCGAGGGCTTTCGAATGATATATGATTCATTCGTATTGGATCAAGCAGCAAAAAGTTATAGCCTTTCAAAGGTCGGCTCACGCTCAACCGGCCACGCTCAACTGACCCCAACCGTCCAATTTAATATACCTTTTTCAGCCTTAAAGGAGGCTATTTTAAAGTGAGGTTTGTCTGTATTAGTGATTTTCGGGAGAAAACCCGGGAAACGGGAGAGTCGTGAAATGACCTCTGGAGTCGGGTCTTTTCAATAAAAAATTTAAAAAAACTCTGGAAAATTTCCTTATTCGTGAGTCGGGATACCAGAACAACACTAGACTTTAGGTAAACGATCACCCTTTTAAAATCCACCTTTTTCTAACCAGTTATCTCAACAGAGATTTTAATAAGACTCGTGAATAAGACTCTAATAAATCCTTTTTCTCTTAAAAAAATTTATTTTTACGACTTAATTTTTTCAAATTTTTATAGTACCGTTCATTACCGCGCAGGTGTTTCTCTCTCACACATTTTTATTAATTCCCCTTCCAAACTTATTTTGCACTTTTTTTATTAATAATTGTAGACTGCCAAGTTTTCTCACAGCAAAATATAGGGAGAAATGAAAAGCTGGAAATTATTTTAAGAAATTGGCATTTTGACAGTTTGCCAACTTTTGCGTTACTGGAGACACTTGGGTCTCAGAACATTCCCACCTCCTTCATTTTTGTCATACTCTTACGGTTATTTCTTTTTATATAGTAGACTCCTCTTTGTTACGACTCCCCTTTATCTCACATTACTCTCCTTCAAATGCCACTTCATTCGGACCTGAGGGACGTGTTTTAGCCTGATTTGACTCCCCTCTCAACAATTTCAGCAAGGAGATATTACAAGGACAAAATATGTCCCTCAGGTCCTCTCAGTCCATCAAGAGGACCTGAGGACATAAGACCTGAGGGACAGGTCCATCAGGTCAGCTCTGAGCGGACATGAGGGACGTATTTTAGAATGATTTGACTCCCCTTTCAACGACTATTTCCCTGTGACGTTAGCAAAATTCAGTCGATGGGTGTCAGAGGGATTAGACTGTCGTAACAGAAAACATAATAACATGAGCAAATTCAGCCCGATATATTCTCGCATTACTTACCTTCAATCACCTATTTCGGATTTTAAGGACATGTTTCAGCCTGGATCTAATCCCTCTGTTCAATCTAATTCCTCTGTTCAAAGGGATTAGACTGTCGTAACAAAAAGGTTCCAGAGGGTCGTAACGGAAGGATTCTATTTTACTAAAATTTCTTCAAATTTAACGGCCATTAGACCCTCTTTCCCTTTTAGCCTTCACTGAGGGTCCCTAAATTCATTATTGTTCTGTTAACTGATGCCAAACAAGGATGAATCTTCTATGTAAAACGGCAACAAAAAGAATTGAAAAAAAGGTGAATTAGGTATTCTCCGTGGTGATGACATTTTCGCTGTCTTGACAGAAGCGAATAATTAAAAGATTTGTTATTGCTCGAGAGAATACTAAATTCGCCTAAATTTTAATAAAATTCTCAACAACGTTAAAATTGAAAGGACAATTTGTCTTCAAAAAAGGGTTACGGTATTTTCGTTTCGAAAAAAATTTAAAATAAAAGACAATTTTAAAATACTATAAAAGCCTTTATTTTCTTTTTTCTAAACCAACCGACAAATTTCTTCTTCAAAACAAATTCTTCAAAAGACACTTTCTCTACAAACAACGACAAAGCATCAAGGCGTCATGCTCTTCTGTTTCGACGACGGATCTGGAACAAAAAAGGCTTCGACAACTCTACATTCGGCTACCACCATCTTGCCGATGTTCTTTGCTTCGACTCTCTTCGTTTTTGTGCTGCTTGGACAGGTCAACAGTGAGAAGAAGGACAAGGACACTGTTGGATTCTTCAAGCACACTCTGAAGGATGGTCATGTCACGCTCGCTGATTATTCCGAGGCTGTCGAAGCAGGAGACGACTCCCTTCTTGTCAAGTACACGAAGCTTTCTGGGTCCTGTGATTTTGAATTCAATAAAGAAGGAAACATGTGAGTTTCTGCATTTCTTTTTTACATTTTTGAAACAATTCTCATTTTTTCAGTGTGCTCTACTACAAGAGGAAAGACACAAACAAGAACATAAATGACACTGGTTGCACTGTGGATCTGCTCACCAAGCATCCGAACATGGTCAAGTTCAGGACTAGAGTGAAAAATAAACCGGATGACTGCCTAAAAAATTGTTCAAGCCATATTTTTGATGGTGCTAGTGCTAATCTGTTAGTTTTCATTCATTCAGTAACGTGACAATATATTTTATTTATTCTAGCCTTCCATTCGCCTACAGCTTAACAGAGAAAAATATAAAGGACTTCAAGGAACGCCAGCCTTCTAAAGGAAATAGTAGCCATTGCAGAAAGTTACCTGTATGTGGTGGCGATGAACGACTTTGCATGCCATGGACTTTTCTCGAGGTTGCTTGGAACAAATGTCTCATAGACGATGACTTTCATATCTTTGCTCATACCCATCCAAGTAAGACAATAAATCTTTTCATTGTTTTGATAATTTAAATTTTTAGTTGGCGAGAAAATGGCTAGATGGAGTCAACCGAGAGTCAGTGAATTTGAGCTGACAATAACAAGACAAGGCGGGTTCTATATGGATAAATTGGAAAATCAAGGATATGATCCAGACGATGATCCAAAAAACCATCCATACTGCGTTCCTCAAGGAAATGGAACGGTCAAACCTTCGACGTGGAAAATCAATGGGTTGAGTCCAGCTCCAGGATATGGTCATCTGCTTGTCTTCTACATGCTTCCACAGAACGCTTCTCGAAATCACAGCAAAGGAGACATTACAAAGAGCAAACCTGTTGGTCCAAGATGTGAAGAACTCTACATTGAATTTGTAAGGAATTTTAAATCTCTTGTAAAATCCTTTCGAATATTTTCTTTATATTCAGGACAAGGACCACTACAAACTTTTGTCTGTCGGCGATCCAACAACGACCACCACAACAACGACAACTACAACACTACCGCCAACAACCACCACTACAACCACTTCAACGACCGCCACATCAACACCGGCTGCTGTAAAGACGACAGAACCGACGACGACAACAACGGAAAAACCTAAACATCGGAGCGATGACTTTTGGCGTGGTGTGATTTTTGGCGGATTTCTTGCCGTCATAATGCTTTCCTGCTTTATTTTCATAATGGGTTGCTGCTGTGAAAAGAGGACCTCTCGATTCTGCGGCAAAACTTGTCTAATGCTTCATGCAATAAACCTCACCATTTTCACATTAATTGGTCTCGGAGCCTTCTTCATCTACACTATAGTGGATAATCCAAGTGGACTCATCGTCTTCATCCTCATTCTAAGTCTTACTTGCTGCTTTATAGTCTCAACATGTTGCATCGTTCACAAGTACTACAAATACGAAGAAGGGAAGCTAGAAGACCAGAAAAGAAGACAGAGGGAGAAAGAAAAAAAGAAAGAAGAGGAAGAAAGGATCAAAAACAAAAAATATCAGAAGGAGTTGGACGCTGTCATCATGATTATATCGAATCCACTAGGGATTTCGAAGTAAGGAATATTTTTTATTAAATAAAAATATATTTCTTTTGCTTTTAGGACATCAATCCGGAAGTGATCAAACATGCGAAGAAAGCTCAAAACCTGCGGCCGCGTCAAATGCCTCTTCCACCTTACTGTTCAGTTGGCCTGAGCACGGATTCGGATCGACATCCGGTAAAAACCTGAATTTTTCAAAAAAAAATTAATTTATATTTTTAGGTTGATCGGGAGAAGGACACGACTACAGCGAATTCACTGATGGGAGCCACGGAGACTTCAAAGATGGAGGAGGGCAAATCGAAGATGGAGGCCGTGGAACATTCGAAGATGGGCGGGAAATCGGAGGGGGCCACGGCAAAGATGGAGGAGGACAAAGCAATGATGGAGGCCACGGCAAAGATGGAGGAGAAGTCGAAGACGGGGGAGAAATCGAAAATGGCGACCACTGCGAATTCGATGATGGAGACCAACTCGAAAATGGAGGAAGTGGACAAGTCGAAGAGCAGCCAGCAGGAATGATGAGAGGACAATAAAAGAAGCTATAAGTGTTCCAGAGAAGAAAAAAGATGTGTGATTGTTGAAGAGAAAATTCAAAATAATAATTGTTGTTGTTGTTTTCCCTCAAAAATATATTTGTACCTATTTTCCTATATTGCCCTTATATAATATAATTACCCAAACATTTTGTTGTAGTATATTTGTAATGTTCAATATATATTGTTTGTTTGTATTGTTGTAATTGTTAAATAAATTGTTGTGTTTGTAGAAACGACTTGATAGAGAAAAACAAACATTAACAAAAATCAGAATATTCCAAAAACATTAAAATAAGACTGAATGAACCAGAATTAAATCAAAACATTAAATAAACATTTGAAAAACAAAACACAAAAGAAATCAGAAATTCCTCTGAATTAAATCAGAATTTATCGAAAAACAAAAAAATCAGAACATCTTTAAAACATCAAAAACATTTAAAAACAAATCAGAATTTTATCAAAACATTTAAAAACAAATCAGAATTTAATCAGAACATTAAATAAACATCAGTAAAGTTGAAATAAAACAAATAAATCAGAATTTCCACTCGTTAAAGTAATGTTTTTGTTGATTAATTCAGTTTAAACAAAACAAAAGCAGAACATTATTCAAACAACAAAAACATTCAACATAATTAACAAAATAAAACCATAATTTAATCAAAACATCAAAAATATTCATTAAAACAAATAAAAATAAAGTTAAAATAAAATGTTTTTGCGCATGTTTTTCTTCTTAAAATTAAACACTCAATTCTTTCCTCAAAATTTGATAAGCAATTCTCTCGCGGAAATAGGGAATGTGTTCCTGAGTAAATGTAATAGGCGCCCTTCTCGATGCAAATTCCGCAAACAAACAAGAAAATACTCCACAATCAGAAATATTTCGTTGAGGAGGAATATTCTTTAAAATTTGAAAAATTTTTTGGTTAAAAATTGGGATATACTTTAGCGTACCCCCTGCAGAAAAAAAACGTATCAAAGTACTCTCATTATCTATCTTTGCTAAAATAAAATAATTATTATATGGGTTTGTGGCACGGAAATTAAAAATAATTGCAACAACTTTGGCTCGGGATATAGGGCTCGAAATGGTCAAAAATCATAGGGGGAATAGGCTGATTTTTGAGGTTAAAAATTCGATTATACAAATAATAAAAGGAGTCCTCGAGCTGGGTACGCTAAAGTACAGCCAGAAATTGAAAAAAGAAGAAACCCTCAAAAAATTAAATTGCCATCCATTCATATCCAAAGGAATTTGCCTTTTCTCCATAGATTCGTTAATTAGATATTCTCTAGAAAAAAAGAAAAAATTATTGATAAAATTTTGAGAAAAAAATTTTAAAAACAAAACTGTAACAATTCCAAACATTCATAATTGTCTTGATGCAAAGAATCGTAATAATCCATTTTGCGTTCTTCCAAATCAATGATCTTTAAAAACAAGTTTTTTTGAAAAACAAAACTTAAGATATTCTTAAATTTCGTCTTACAATTAGATTTAAATACACTCTCAATTTAAGATATTTTTTAAATCTGATTGGCTACTGGATCGAATTGTGTTACCTAAGCGATACACCCAAATTTTTAGACGCCCCTCACACTATTACACCACATTCAAGAGACTTTTCCTCGCCCCTAATATGTATAAGATACCAGACATGGTCATGGATACGGATACAATAATATCAAAATGCCTGCGGATATCCGCCTGCATCCGGATACGGATACTATGATCAGTATCCGTGACCATGCCTGTGAGATACAGCTCATTATAAGCTACAATTCTCAGTCCAAAAGGAATTTTTTCAGTTTGTTTTCAATTTTGCAGTCCCAAAAAAATCCCAAATTTCAATCTTACAAGTAAGGGTTTCAGTTAAAAATTTTTAAATTCAAATTAAATTAAAAAAAAATTTTTTTTACCACCAAACACCAATGAATAGATAAATGTATCGGAACAATAATTAATTGATTTTCAAAAATATCCTTATTTTTAGTCCAACGCTTAACACGTTCATATCCATTTGAAGCCAAACTTGAATAAAAGAAGGAATTGAAAGCATAAACCTTTGAGAAATTTTTAAAAATTAAAAAAAAATTTTTTTAATTTACTTTGGGCAAATCATTATTGTTGGAACTTCTATCAACAATTAAACTGGCATAAATATTGATAACTGAAAAAAGTGAAAATTATTTTTTAAAGCAAAATTTAATTAAATTTAAAAATTATTATAATATTAAAGTTAAATAGAGCCAAAGAACCTTACAACCTTACAAGTGTTTGCGAATAATTATTAAATAAGAAAAAATACGCAAAATTTGTCCGTAAAAATTTTTTTCCAATTTTTTTTCTTCTCAATTTCCATTTTAAAAATTAACAAAAAATATTTTTTTCAAACCTTCATCATTCAACCATTCATTCCAAAAAATAGTCATAAAATCTTTTCTATTCAATTCAAAACCAGAATTTTTAACAATTATTTGGTCATTTAATTTGGTATTATAAATAATAATTGACATAGATCTTAAAGCATTATATGACAAATCTGAAAAAAAATTTTTTTTTAATTTTTTGAAAAAGAAATTTTCAAAAAAAAAACCTCTATAGCCTCTCGGTTTTGGCTTTTTAGTTAGTGGCCATAAAATGAAGGCAAAGAAAGTTGGCCATACAAGAAAATAAATTATATAACCATAAAAATACATTGATTTTAATGGCTAGAAATTGAAAAAAAATTTTATTTTTGAAATTTAAAAGAGTCAACTCCCACTATAAGAGACTCCCTTTATAAAGAAGAAAAAAAAGTGTGCCTTATAATGAAATGTTTTAAATAGAGGGTGTCGCCTATTGTTAAACAGCTCCCCTTATTATTTAATTATCCAACCAAACTTTAAAGAATGTCTCTTAAATAGAGGTGCCTTATATAGAGGGGTTTTAAATTAAAAAAAACCAACAGTAATCCAAATTTCCTTTTTAACAAGTCCAAAAGTCAAAAAAGCAAAAGCCATAGAAATACTGATATTTAAACGTCCAAATAACCAACAAAAAGGTTTTGCCCACCAAAGATTAATTAAATGACGAATTTGGGGAGGGCCAAAAGCAATAAATGTATATAACTTTAAAAAAATTTAATTAGTTATTTAAATTAAATTTAAAAGTTGGGAAATTAAAAAATTAATCCGCAAAATTTTGTCCGCAAAATTTTTGCGGACAAAATTTTGTCCGCAAAAATTACTATGCAAAAAAAGTTTACTCCTTTACAAGTATCCAAATTTTAATTTCTGCAATAAAAATTTAATCAAATAATTCTATAAAAATTATAACAAAAAAACCTGTTCTTGTGCCACCATACACATAAATTCAAAAGCAAATAACATAAAATAACCCAAATGATATCCATGCCAAACAGCCAAATATAAAAGTGTAATTAAATGGCTATAATATTTATTGCCTAGCCATTTAAGTCTTTTGAATATATGGCTGGAAATTTTGAAAAAATTAGATTGAAAATAAATATTTTTGGGGGGAGGGGACATTTGATCCCAAATTTCTAATTAAAAAGTCTAAAAAAGCCAGACACGATTTATTGACATTCGAGGTGGCTTGCCAAGTCGAATTCAAAAAATAATCTGAGAAGCCATATCAAGTTATGAGTGAATAAAGAAAAGGAAAGGTGAGAGACATGTGATCCCATATGTCAAGAAAATAAGGTAAACCCAAAGAAGTCCGCATTTTGAAAAAGATTTTTATGAAAAAAAATTAATTTTTAATTCTTACCTTTTTTCTTGAAATCTGGGATCAAATGTCTCTCACCCTCTCATAAAATGGAAGGAAATTTTTTGTCAAAAAAATATCTCCCTATTACCTATTTAAGGTTGGCGGATCTTCCAAAAAAAAATAAAAGTAAATTTATTTTTCTGAGATACCCTCACCCACCCCCCCCCCTCCCCCCAAATAAAATTTGAAAACCCAACTTTTTAGCAAATTCATTAGTACAACAATTAAAAGAGTCAATAACCGATTGAAAATCACTTCCCAATTCCCATTTAATAATATTAATATTTCTAGTTCCATTCCATTTATCATCCCCATTTAAATCTTTTCCATTATAAGAAATTCCACTCAAAATTGAACTTCCCTCTGTTAAAAGCCAAGCAACACAATAACGATACATTGTTGATTTAAACCAAATTGTATTCCAAACTATTTTCCAAAATAATGGAAGGGACTTGAAATTTTTTGAAAATTATTTTTTTAAAAGGTCAAACATCATTATAGGATACCCACTTGGGAGTAAAAAATTTGTGTCTTGTAATGAGATGTCTCTTAAATTGGGGGTATCATTCAAGAAGCTTTTCAAATCTAACGGTTAACCAAATTTAATAATAAAGGGTTATTTAAAAGGTATCGCCTAGACAGCTACCAAATCTAATTGTTTTGGGAGTCAACCAAAGAGTCAACCAAAATTGTATCATAAATTAAGGAGATCTTTCAAAGAAGTCCTGACATAATTAAAATATTTAAAAAATACCAAAAATTCAGGAGAATTAAAATAACTGTCAGGCACCCAAACAGTCCCCCATTTATACAAAACAGCAAAAAATACACCAACAACAAAACGTTGAAGACTTGCCATTATACTTTAAAAATTAAATTAATTTAAAAAAAAATAAAAAATTTTTAAGCCCTAAGTTTTATCCGCAAAAATAATCCGCAAGTTTTATTAGCAAACCACTCAAATTTTTGCGGATTTTCTTGCAGACAAAAGTTGTCGATTTTTTATACTTATTTTTGGACCTCTTGGACTTAATTTAATTACTTAAGAAAATGTCCGCAAGTTATGTCCGCAAATTTTTAATTTATCCGCAAATATTAAAACCTAAAAAAATTCCAAAAAAACCTGGATTGCCTAACTTCATTCCTTTCTTTATCCAAATAATCCCCCTTAACAAATTCTCTAAAACGTTTCAAAGAAAAATGAGGCCCTGTAAGCGTTCCACTAAAGCAGAAAGCAAAAGCTGCAATTTCCAATAAATTTGGTTTGTCCGTTATTGCTGTTTTTGATTGTTGCTAAAAATTAAAAAGTTTACTAGTTAAATGTAAGTTTGTGGGGTCTTATTCTTTCGACATAACAGTTCTATTGTGATAGGACGTCACGTATTGACGTCTTATAGAAGAGAGGTGATACACAGCGGGGATAAGTCACTCTCCTCCATCCCCTTATTATGTATAAATCAGGAGATGAATAAAAACCCACATTGTGTAAACTTGCAAACAAGGGAATAAGAAACAAAATGAAAGGAAAAAGGGGCCCATAAACAGGTCTATAATCTATTTTCAATTAAAAACCCCCCCAAAAAACCTGTAAATGTCCATCATATACATCCATAACTAAAGCAGTCATTTTCAACGTCAAAATACAAAAAGGTGTAGTCCATGTAATATCATAAGTTGAAGATTCCACAAACCAAATACCAATTAATAAATGCCCCTTTTTTAAGAAAAATTTTAAAAAAATTTTCAAAAAAATACTAAAAAGAAAATATGTGCAGCAGCAACAGAAAGAGCAGTTCCAGGAATCAAATTGACAATTAAATAGGCAATAATTATTGAAAAAATTGTGTGGATGATGGCTACACCTGTGAAATAAAAAATATTTATTAATTGGTATTTAAAAAAATTTTAAATTTAAAAATCCGCAAATTTTGTCCGCAAATTATAAATGTGAGCAAATTTTGTAAAAAAAATTAGATTTCTGTAGAATAGAAATATTTGCGGATAAAACTTGCGGATTTATACTACTGGCAATAAATAAAAGAATAAAACCATATAAAATCAAAAAAATAAAATGGCATTTGGGTCGAAATCTAAAACCATGTTTTCCCTTTAAATTAAAATTCCATAAATTCCCCCACAAAAAAATTAAAAAAAAATTCCTCCAAAAAATCCCCAAAAAAAACCAACCACAAAAAAACAAATAAAGCAGCACACCAGTAACCACAAAAAATGCATGTTGAAATCTTTCAGGTAATTTATAAATGAATGTTCGGTAAATAATAGCTAAAGGATAACAAGCCAAAATTGCAACAAGTAAACGCAAAGCATCCTCTTCTGAACCAATTATTTGAGATAAATAATCCGTAAAAGTTGCCATCATTTTTGTTTTTACATAGTTTTCTTAAAAGACATAAAATTTAGAAAATTGGAAGTGAAAATGCAGGCAAATTTAATTCAGAAGGGACAAGCTCAAGTAGGCGCGCGGCCATAACGGCGCAAAGCCATAACTTCCTAGAAAATTTCTTTCCCTTATCAATTTGTGTACACATCTCTTTATCACAATGAGAGGAATCGTTTATTACTAAATTTGGTAAGATTAGGAAATCTTGAAGCGAGTTATAGCTTTGCGCCTTTATGGAAGCGCGCCTACTTGGGCTCTACCCAATTGAGAAAAAGAACAGTATTTTTCTCTCTCCAATTCTCTTTTTTAATTTTCTTTCTCTAATTATTATTGTGACTAGTTTTTTGTTAAATTAGCTAATTCTTCAAAATATCTAACTTTCGTTTTGCCCAACAGAACAAATTTAGACATTTCGTCTCAACATTCTCTCTCTTTTTAAAAGTGGTACCCTCTCTTTTTCTTAATTTGAGAGAGATAACCTTGAAAATCATAAAGCATGTAATCCTTCTTGCAAAATACCTCAATTGTTATGAGGATTATCTTTTTTCACGCTTAATATGTGTGTTAAATTCGTGTAAAAACGATAGGAATTTTTTTTAATTTTTAGGGCTATTATAAAAGCTTAGACGCTAGAAGCTTAATTTAGTTACCGTAAATACTCTAATTAAAGCCCGGCTCTATTAGAAGCCCATAGCTAATATACAAGCCCACCAAAGGGGGCCCATCGAAAAATAGACGTTCATTCCCTAATAGAAGCCCATATCTAAAATGGCGTAGTGACAGAATACCCACAGACTTTTGTCCTAGGGTCTTCTGTCTGTGGATCTTCTGCATCGACACGATCTAATATAAGCCCACCCAAACTGACACATTGAAAAATAGACGCCCAGGGCTTTAATTAGAGCATTTTTAGTTAATTTATTTTTCTAATGATGCCGCGTTTATTTAATTATTTCCTTATTGGAGCTCTGCTCTTCTCCATGCCTATTTTCTCTATGTCTAGTCTTCCTGATAGTTCTGCAACTCAAACTATGGAGTGAGTTTCTTTTCTTTTTACGATTCAAAATTCATTTTTCTCGCAGTTATTCTCATTTTGAAGAATCTGATATGTTGCTAGACAAGGACGATGAATGGCTCCATTATTTGTTATATTCGGCTAGCTTCATGATTGGGTAATTATTAGAGATTGAAATGGGTATAGGCTGAGGCCGCCTTAGACTTTTATTGTGTCTGGATTTTCTTACTAACCACAGACTCAGATTCGGCCCAGAACAATGGATTTCAGAAATTAGTCCAAGGCCAATTAGAGTGGGGCCTGGGACAAGGCTCGGATTGTTCCTATACCCTAAACCCAGGCATTCTTGGAGTGAGTCTTAATTTACCTTGAACCACAGATTCAGAAATTAGTCCAAAGCCAAATAGCGTGGGGGCTCGGACTGGTCCTACATCCTAAACCCAGGCATTTTTGGATCCACTAGTTTCTCAGTTGGTTTGCATTTTTCCCTAAACTACAGACCCGGATTTGGTCCAGGGCAGTGATTTTCGAAAGTTAATTTAAGCCCAGACCCGAATTTAAAAGAATCAATAAATCTTCAAAAATTTTTTTAAAGCTCTTTCATAATTTGGGCAATTGTGCGTTTTTGTTTGGTTGTTCCGCGTTATAAGAAAATTCAAGAGATGGAGCGACACTATAAATTGCTCAAGAACGAGTACAAAAGTGAGCGTGAATTGATGTCTGGTCAAAAAGAAATTGTGGTATCGGCTGAGGAAAAAAGTGAAAGGGTAAGGGAAATTTTTAAAAATTAAAAAAAATTTTTTTTTAAGTCAGTACTTGCAACCACCAGCGATCTCAGCAGAAATTACAGTGATATTCCAAGTTCGCTCAAATCTGACAAGCCAAAAATTAAAAAGGAGCCTGTGGTCGCCGAGACGAATAAATCGGTACGTCTTCGACCTAAATTGCATACAACGGATAAAGGTTAGTAAAAAAGTTTTTTAGAGGATTGAATTCTTTTCTTTTCCGTTTATTAAGATTGGTTCTTCTTTTCCAATAACTGGCATTTAAAACGTCTGGGGATGGGTTTTTTAGGAGGGAGGAAGCAAGGCCCGAGGACAAATCTTCGGGCAGGCCCGAGGATTTGTTCAGAGTAGTCGGTAGGGCATTTTTGAATCTCCCTCGGTTACGGGTTTGGGTAGTGGAAAGGTGTAAGCTAAGCTTATTGTTAGCAAGGCAACAAGGGTCGTGGGCTTCAGCTCGCCGATCCTAGCTGCCTTGAAATGCTTTGCTAAAAATTGCTTATGTTAGATCCTTGCCCGATAGCTACTCTTACTCCACTTCTAATAGGCTATTAAAAGTCGCTAGGATTTGATCAGCTAGGCTTATTTTTAAACGCCTCGAACTAGTCAATAAATTTATAGGTAAATCTATTGTTAGAAGTACCTAAATTTTCTTTTCTAAAATAATTTTTTTAAGTCTCAATTTTTTTTTTTACTCAAAAAAACATTTTATTTTTTAAAGGCCCAATTCTCGTCTCTGATAGCAGCAATTATGAAGAAATTGGAAACGTTCATGTTGATGATATTTATTCTGCTCCTCAGCAGCCTTCTGTTCCAGAAAATCTTCCAATACTTTCTCCTCCCACTAAATCTATTAAATCAGCAAAACTTTTTAGTGAAGACATGGAAGATGCTGTCCCCTTCAATACTGTTCCGTTGTCGATGTTGAGTGATGCTGGTAGAGGTCTTAAATTGCAACAAACTGCTGCCCAACTGGAAGAGGATCAAACTCCGTTTAGTGTTGAAACGAAGGAAAAGGCTACAGAAGGTTTAATAAAAAATAAAATAAAGAGGGTTTGGGGTAATTTATGGGGACATAGAGGGCAAGGGCGTAGCCAGGGGGGGGCTTCTGGAGCTAAAGCCCCCCCCCCCGAAATCGACCCCCTGGCTACGTCCTTGCTAGAGGGGGGAATGATTCTCAGTCAGGGGGAGATGGCGCCACGGAAGAGGGGTCTCAAATTCAATGATCCTCTGGGGTGAAACAGGGGTCGGTCGGAAATGATGACTATCAAAAATCGGAAATTTTCTCATAATTTTGGAACCAGAAATCGAAAAAAACGGAGGAGATAGTGATTCCGACTGATCTTTGGGGTGGAGTAGAACCGTAAGGACTTCAAAAGAAATTCATGACCTTGAATCCTAACCGAGGTTTGGTGTTTAAGCAAAATTCTGGGCCTTTAAAGAATAGACTCTTCAAGTTCCAACAGTTAGACCCACGGTTCCGCTCCATAAAAAATTTACTGAAACCGCCCAACAATCTTTATGCCTCTATGTGGGGGCATAAGATCTTTTAACTTAATTTTTTCTTAGAAAGCACTGAAGAAGAAAAAGGTTCGACAGAAGGAGGAACAAGTTCAACAACAGAACATGATAAGGAAGAAAATGAAGAAGATCAGATTTATAAGACTTGAAGTTGTTTAGAATTGAGGTTTAATTGTGTTATTGTTCTTATGGGTATATTTATTTTTTCTGTGTTTTATACATAAAATAATAGGTAAAAATATTTTAAGTTAAAAATTTTTTCTTTTTATTTTTAGAAATTCAATTTAATTTTTGAGATTTTTGGTCAATCAAAAAAAGATTGATTGCTTTATATGAGTTCATTTCTTATTTCGTCTTTTTTTTGAAAAAAAGGTGTAGGGTAAATTAGGGTGTACTTACTTATTTTCCCCCTCATTTCCTTTCCTTTTCCCCCTCATTTCCTTCGTGCCCGCTCAAAGAATAGATGAATCAAAGGATAGATACGGCTAAAATCGATCAAAGGATAGACGCGGCCAAAAGCTGCTAAAGGATAGATAAGGCAAAAAACGATTAAAGGATAGATGCATCAAAGGATAGATGCGCCAAAGGATAGATAGGGGTAGAATCCATTAAAGTATAGACACGTCTAAAATTGGGTAAAACATAGATAAAGTTTGGAGTCCAGTTGAGTACCAACTGTTGAGTGCCTGATCTTTGTTTGTTTTTTTCAGATCTTTGTTTTGATTTCATGTTTCTGTTCTGATTTTTATTTTATTTGTACTTTAGTATATTTGCGGAAAAAAGTTTTTGCCGCTGCGGATGAAGCCGGGCATGTCGAGCGGAACGACGGCCGCCGCTTTGCTACGGTCGCCGCGAGCGAAGCGAGCACGACCGCAGCGAAGCACGGCCATCGTGAAGCGAAAACCATGCCCGGCCTACCCTCCGTAGCAGCACAAAAACAGTTTTTCCAGCGAAGATTCAGATTATTAAACATTTTTGTCCAGACTCAAACGACCTATTCAGCTGTCTATCCTTTGATCGCTTTTGGCCGTATCTATCCTTTAGTGCATCTATCCTTTGATGCATCTATCCTTTGATAGTTTTTGGCCGTATCTATCCTTTAGCGCATCTATCCTTTAATTCATCTATCCTTTGTAGGGGAGCCATTTCCTTTCCTTTTCCCCCTCATTTCTTTTCCTTTTCCCCCTCGGCTACCCTACAACTCATCGAATCCTTAACTCATCGAATCCTCAACTCATCGAATCGGCCAAAAACACTCAACTCATCGAATCCTTAACTCATCGAATCCTCAACTCATCGAATCGGCCAAAAACGATCAACTCATCGAATTTTTCCAAAAGGGGACGTTTGAGTCCCCGTGTTTATTTTTTAGATTTTTTATTGTTTTGTTTATTTTTTTTGTTTTCTTCTGGGGTTTCAACTAATTTTGTTAATTAGTTGATCGGGCACTCATCTAAGTTTATCCGGCCAGTGAAAACATTATCAGAACATTATCTCATTCCTGAAAACATTATCTCATTCCTAATAAATTATGCTGGAGATTTTACCGGGTAAAACCGGACCAAATTAGTCCAGTAGACCCCGATTATGCCCAAAAGCCCTTTTTCCTAGCCTCCATAGCAGCAAAAAATTTTTTCAACGAAGATTCAGTTAGCCCTTTCGGGAGAAAAATAAAAACAGGGGACTCAAACGTCCCTTTTTGGAAAAATTCGATGAGTTGAGCGTTTTTGGCCGATTCGATGAGTTGAGGATTCGATGAGTTAAGGATTCGATGAGTTGAGTGTTTTTGGCCGATTCGATGAGTTAAGGAATTTTAGCCGATTCGATGAGTTGAGCGTTTTTGGTCGATTCGATGAGTTAAGGATTCGATGAGTTGAGCGGGCACGTCCCCCTCATTTCCTTTCTTTTTCTTTTTTTTTAAGCGAATATTTTTTTTTTGTTGAGTATATTGATTTATTATTTAGAAAAAAATTTTTCTTATCATTCGACTTATCATTTTTTTATTTTGCAAGTGGGTCACTTGTCTATCCATATCGTTTTTTTGCAAAATAATTTTTTCATTCAGTTAATTTTTGATTAATGTCTGCAGAAAAACCTCACTTATAAATACACCCTTGAGAATAAAAATTTCGTCGCTTATAATGAGATGTCGCTTAAATAGAGGGTATATGTTAGACAGTTCCCCAACTCACAATCAGTTGGCTACCAAATTTTTAAAAAATGTCTCTAAAATAGAGGCGTACCCAGTATTGGGAGTATCTTATAGAGAGATTTCTGGAAAATTTTGGGTGTAACTTATAATGAGATGTCTTGAATAGAGGGTATTATCCCCCCCCCCCAATGGCCAACCAAAAATTTTTTTAAAAAATCTTTTAAATAGAGGTGTGCCTAATATTGGGCGTATATTGTAGAGAGGGTCTAAGATTGGGGTTTACCTTATAATGGGGTGTCTCTTAAATAGAGGGTATCCCTTCCCTTTGGCCAACCAAAAATTTTAAAGAGCGTATATTACATAGAGGTGTGCCTAATATTGAGAGTATATTATAGTGAGGGTTCCAAGGAAATTGAGGGTGTACCTTATAATGGGGTGTTTCTTAAATTGAGGGTGTATTTATAAGTGAGGTCCGGCATATTTTTAATTTTTTTTCAGAAGTCATTGAAAAATGACTATAAATTATTTATCTCAAATAATTGGTTCAGAAGAGGATGCTTTGCGTTTACTTGTTGCAATTTTGGCTTGTTATCCTTTAGCTATTATTTACCGAACATTTATTTATAAATTACCCGAAAGATTTCAACATGCATTTTTTGTGGTTACTGGTATTTTGCTTTATTTGTTTTTTTGTGGTTTGTTTTTTTTAATTTTTTGGAGGGGAATTTTTTGAATCTTTATTCAATTTCAATGAAGAGAATTTAATGAATTGGACATTTTTGACCCAAATGGGCATTTTTATTAATATTTTTTATTTGGTGGATTTTTGGGGGTCTTTGAATTTTTTATAGAAATTCGGCTCTTGTTCAGTTTAGGCGTCCAATCGCACCTTTATACGTCCAAACAACCTTTATACGTCCAATGAAATGTTTATACGTCTAATGAAACGTTTATGCGTCCAAACAAAATTTTAAGCGTCCAATGAAAAGTTTATGCGTCCAGACAAATTTTTATGCTATTTGGATCTATTTTTGTAAGTTTTATTTCTTTTCATAAAAAACAATCCAAGTTGTTCGTCACTGGGGGATGTTGTTCCGTCAACGGGGGATGTTGTTCCAAGTTATTTCGAAAAGAATGAATTTGTTCCGAGAATTGGAACAATATATAAATTCAAAATTTAAATTTTCACTGTAATGCATTGGACGTATATAAATATGTTTGGACGTCTAAACTTTTCATTGGACGCACAAAAATTCGTTTGGACGTCTAAATCTTTCATTGGACGTATAAAGGTTGTTTGGACCAGGAATGTGCCGAAACAGATTTTAAAAAGCGAAAGACGAAAGGCGAAAAGGCGAAAGTCGATTTAAAAGGCGAAACACGAAAGACGAAAAGGCGAAAGTCATTTTAAAAAGCGAAAGACGAAAGGCGAAAGACGAAACACCAAAAAAGACGAAAATAAGGCGAAAGACGAAAGGCGAAAGACGAAACAACTGTAATGAGGAAAAATCTCTAGATATCGGTTAAACTAAAGCTTTGGTTAATTACCTACTTTCAAATCTTCTATCAAATTCTCCAAATCTTGCGATTTCCTTCTTAACCACTAAATTATGGATATCAGAGGATTTAGAGTGATTAAGGAGGATATCAGAGGATGTGTATGGAAAAATTCAAATTTAAATTTTTATTTTTTCCTATCATTGGAAATCGACCATCGTTAATTGTGAATATAGTTAAAAGATTTTGGGAAATCCCAGGATATCCAAATCCGTTGTCCGAACAAGAATTTCGATATCCGGATCCGTAACCAAAATTTTTAATAAAATACTGAGGCTTACCCAAGTAGAGAAGTATCCCCTTTATCAGCGCCGCAGGCGAAAATTTTGAGAATTTTGAAGGTCCTTAAGTCAGATTTCTTCCCTTTTTGCGCCGCAATAAATACCACTATGCTGGAAAATAACCTGTATTAACTTTTTAAGCGCCGCAGGCAAAGATTTTGAAAATATAAGGTGTCTAAGGCACGGAAAATTCACTTTTTAAATTAAAAAAATAATTTTTTCATAGAAAAATTATAATTATTCTATTCATAATATATAAATAAAAATCTTGTCCCTAAATTTGGTCCGAACCTAACAATAATAAAATGGTCGCTAGTCGGAGTCAAACAACTTACCACTCAACCATCAATTACTTTATTAAGTTAAAAGAAAATTATATATTTATCCCCACTCGTCCTTAGTTTTTCTCTTTCTTTTCTTCTCCCAATTACCAACTTTTCCTCACATACCATCATTAGGGGTGTATAATATTTTCGCCTTTCGCCCAAAAAAGCGAAAGACGAAAGGCGAAAAGGCGAAAGTCATTTTAAAAAGCGAAAGACGAAAGGCGAAAGACGAAACACCAAAAAAGACGAAAATAAGGCGAAAGACGAAAGGCGAAAGACGAAACGGCACACCCCTGGTTTGGACGTATAAAGGTGCGATTGGACGTTTAAACTGAACAAGAGCCAGAAATTCTTAGAATTTATTATTTTGAATTTTTTAAGAATAAGGGATTTTTTTAGGAAAAACTGTTTTTACATTTTTGACCCAAATGAGCCCTTTAAAAAAATTTTTTGCTTTTAAGTAAATTTATTGTTTTATTTATTGTTGGTAGCATAAATCCGCAAGTTTTATTTGCAAATATTTTTATTTTGGACAAAAATAATTTTTTTACAAATTTTGCACACATTTTCATAATTTGCGGACAAAATTTGCGGATTTTCAAAAAATTTTTAATTTCCTAAATAATTTTTATTTTACAGGTGTAGCCATTATCCACACAATTTTTTCAATAATTATTGCCTATTTAATTGTCAATTTAATTCCTGGAACAGCTCTTTCTGTTGCTGCTGCACATATTTTCTTTTTAGTATTTTTTTGAAATTTTTTTTAATTTTTTCTTAAAAAGGGGCATTTATTAATTGGTATTTGGTTTGTGGAATCTTCAACTTATGACATTACATGGACTACACCTTTTTGTATTTTGACTTTAAAAATGACTGCTTTAGTTATGGATGTATATGATGGACATTTACAGGTTTTTTTGGGGGGGGGGGGGGGGGGGGGGATTTTTCGAAAATAGGTTATAGACCCGTTTATGGGCCCCTTTTACCTTTGATTTTATTCCCTATTCCCTTGTTTCCAAATTTTACTTTCTTGTTTCTAAATTTTTTGAATTTTTTTGGAATTTAAAAATATTTTTTTCTATTGTCCAAGCTTGAAGGAACGTTTAATTCTTTTGTATTATCCCAAACATTTTTGCGGACAAATTGGGATTTTTGAACTTTCGCAAGCCCTATTTTCTTTCTTTTTTCCCTCTATTCTCAAAATTAATTCATTTTTGGTTGATTCAATTGTCAGAAGCAGCATAGGATTTGTCAAGGGTAAACTTGGGGTAGCATTTTTTACATTGGGATTTATAGCTATTAACTCCGTTTTTCTGCATTAATTTCTCACAAAAAATTTTTTCTGACATAAAACGCCAAAAATGTTCACCATTTGTTTTTTATTAAAAATCTTTTTTTAGAAAAAATCAGAGTCACAGCAACAGTCAAAAACAGCTATAACGGACAAACCAAATTTATTGGAAATTGCAGCTTTTGTTTTCTTCTTTAGTGGAACGCTTACAGGCCCTCATTTTTCTTTAAAACGCTTTAGAGAATTTGTTAAGGGGGATTATTTGGATAAAGAAAGGAATGAAGTTAGACAATCCAGGTTTCTTTTAAATTTTTTTAAAGTTTTAATATTTGCGGACAAATTAAAAATTTGCGGACAAAACTTGCGGACATTTTCTTAAGTAATTAAATGAAGTCCAAGAGGTCCAAAAATAAGTATAAAAAATCGACAACTTTTGTCCGTAACAAAATCCGCAAAAATTTGAGTGGTTTGCTAATAAAACTTGCGGATTATTTTTGCGGATAAAACTTAGGGCTTAAAAATTTTTTTATTTTTTTTTTAAATTAATTTAATTTTTAAAGTATAATGGCAAGTCTTCAACGTTTTGTTGTTGGTGTATTTTTTGCTGTTTTGTATAAATGGGGGACAGTTTGGGTGCCTGACAGTTATTTTAATTCTCCTGAATTTCTGGTATAAATTTTTTAAAATTATGTCAGAGGACTTTTTTATAAGATCGCCCCAATACTTGATAATTTTTAATTTAACAATAAGATACTTTTTTAAATTTTGGTTGGCCTTTAGATGGTGTACCGACACTTGCGGATCGACATTTGCGGATCGACAGTTGCGGATCAGTTAATGATTTTAAAAAATAAAGGATTTTCACATTTTTCCGATTTAAAAATATTTCTTTGGATCGGATTGCACGTCGAAAATTTCAAGGTACCGGGTCTATGCGGTGAAATGTTGTATCAGCCTACAATTTTGGGAATAGAACCTTTTTCTTGTTCAAATTTGAAAATTTTCGAAGACACAAGCGCAAGGCGATCTCAATATTCAGGACGAAACTTTTACAAGAGTAAAGGATTTTTATTTTCTTGGAAAATTACCAGGTCCGCAAATGTCCGATCCGCTAATGTTAATCCGCATCTGTCGATCCGCAAATGTCGTTCCGCAAGTGTCGGTTAACCCTTTAGATAACCAAATACCCTTTATTATAAGGTACATTTTCCAGAAAACCTCTCTTTAAGATACTTCCGATATTAGATACACCTTTAAGAGACATTTTTAAAGGGCTGTTGGGATTGAGGTGCTCCTAACATACCCTCTATATAAGCGATACCCCCTAACATAAGCGATACCCTCTATATAAGCGATACCCCCTATATAAGCGATACCCTCTATTTAAGGACTTATTATCATGAAATACAAAGTTCTTTTTTCACTCCCAAGGGTTTCATTCTCATAATGATTTCTGACAAGCCACCTTGAATGTCAAAAATCATTTTAGTTTTCTTTTAAGATCAATTTTTGGGATCAAATTTCTCATCCCCCATTAATCTATTTATTAAATATTCTTGTTGTACTAATGAACTAATTCTCAAAAATTTTCAAGTCCCTTCCATTATTTTGGAAAATAGTTTGGAATACAATTTGGTTTAAATCAACAATGTATCGTTATTGTGTTGCTTGGCTTTTAACAGAGGGAAGTTCAATTTTGAGTGGAATTTCTTATAATGGAAAAGATTTAAATGGGGATGATAAATGGAATGGAACTAGAAATATTAATATTATTAAATGGGAATTGGGAAGTGATTTTCAATCGGTTATTGACTCTTTTAATTGTTGTACTAATGAATTTGCTAAAAAGTTGGGTTTTCAAATTTTTATTTTTTGTAAAGGGGGGGGATAATTACATATTTTGACAAAAAAAAATTTCTTTCATTTTTTGGAAGAGGGCATGGTAAAGGGACGTAGGTAAGAATTAAAAATCAATTTTTTTTTCAAAAATCTTTTTCAAAATAATTGCGGACAATATTTGCGGACTTTTTTTTAGCTTACCTTATTTTTTTGTCATATGGGATCAAATGTCTCTCATCTATTTTTTTCTTATTTTTGCTCATAACTCTTTTCTCAAAAAATTTTTCGAAGATATTTGCGAACTTTTTTGGGCTTACCTTAGTTTTTTGACATTTTGGATCAAATGTCCTTTTTGGGATCAAATGTCTCCTCCCCCCAAAATAAATTTATTTTTAATTAATTTTTTTCAAAATTTCCAGCCATATATTCAAAAGACTTAAATGGCTAGGCAATAAATATTATAGCCATTTAATTACACTTTTATATTTGGCGGTATGGCATGGATATCATTTGGGTTATTTTATGTTATTTGCTTTTGAATTTATGTGTATGGTGGCTCAAGAACAGGTTTTTTTGTTTAATTTTAAAGAATTATTTGATTAAATTCTTATTGGAAAATTAAAATTTGGGTATTTGTAAAAGACTAGACTTCTGAAATTTAATTTTTGCGGACAAATTTTGTCCGCAAAATTTTGCGGACAAATTTTTTGCGGACAAAATTTTGCGGATTAATTTTTTAAATTACTTATTTTTTAAATTCTATTTAAAATTCAAATTATATTTTTTTAAAGTTATATACATTTATTGCTTTTGGCCCTCCCCAAATTCGTCATTTAATTAATCTTTGGTGGGCAAAACCTCTTTGTTGGTTGTTTGGACGTTTAAATATTTGTGTTTCTATGGCTTTTGCTTTTTTGACTTTTGGACTTGTTAAAAAGGAAATTTGGATTACTGTTGGTTTTTTAAATTTAAAACCTCTATATAAGACACCTCTTAATATAGATATACCTCTATTTAAGAGACGCTCTTTAAAAATTTGTTTGGCTTATGGGTGGGGGATACCCCCCAATTTAAGAGACACTCCCATAGGTACACCATTTTATAGAAACCTCTTTATATTGGACACCCACTAATATTAGACCTCTCTATATTGGACACCCACTAATATTAGATACACCTCTATTTAAGAGACGCTCTTTAAAAATTTGTCCACTGGATGGGGGATACCCCCAATTTAAGAGGCACTCCCTTTAAGTACATCATTTTATAGAAACCTCTTTATAAAATACACTCAATACTAGATACACCTCTATTTAAGAGACGCTAAATTTAAAATTTGGACCAATGGGTGCAGGAGGTATTTTAAGAAGATATATCCTCAATTTAATAGACACCTCATTATAATACACAATTTATTTTCAGTCTTAAATGGGAGTCTATTATAGTGAGAGTTGCCTCTATTTTAAATTTTAAAAATAAAATTTTTTTAAATTTTTAGCCATTAAAATCAATGTATTTTTATGGTTATATAATTTATTTTCTTGTCTGGCCAACTTTCTTTACATTTGTATTGCGTCCATTAATTAAAAAACCAAAAATTTTGAAAGACGAACAAAATGGTGTTATAATTAAAAATTCTCCCGTTGCTACACAAATTAATGAAGAAAAGAAGGAAAAATGAAAAAAATTTGGTGGTAGATGGTAAAATAAAATTTTAAAGAAGCATTAAAAATTTATATTATTAAAAAATATGTCGGCGGGAAAATAGAAGAGGAAATTGGAAGGATTTTTCATCAAGGATGTCCATTTCGTCAGTAATATGGTTGCCAGAATTGACCGACTCGGACCAAAAAGATCGAGTCGGGCCTAAGATATTTGGCTCGCTAATACTCGTATGGCTCGACTCGATAAAGCCAAGCCCGAAAGTGACTCGTACCGGCCCGACTGATAAAAACAAGCCAGAAAAAATGCCTCGACCGTCGGCCCGACGGCAACCCTAGTCATAAGGCACCCTTTTTAAATACAAAAATGTAGATGATTACTGACATACTATGTCAGTAATCATCTACATTTTTGTATTTAAAAAGGGTCCTCTTAATCCTCCGATATCCCTCTTAATCTCTAAAACGGGGATAACTCAGGATTTAGAATGATTAAGGAGGATATTTGGAGATTTGGACGGATATCAGGTGTTTGAGTGTACCCCCTAAAATTAGCCTTTTCTGCCGACATAATCGAATCTCTTTAAATTAAATATCAAAAAAATTAAATAAAAAAAGTTAAATTGAGGTTGTTATGCTAGAAAGCAATTTGAAATTGATCAAAAAAATCCGCAAAAAATTTTGCGGATTTTTTTGGATTTGCGGATTTTCTGCAAATTATTTGTTTGCGTTTAGCTTTAAAAATCTCAATTTTATATTTTAAATTTTGACTTTTATGTTGATATATTTTTAGTCATTTTTAAAATATGGTAAAATTTATCATTCAGGTGTTAAAAATTATCTTCTTAACAAATGCTATTTTTTACCCTATAACCCTAATTTAAAGAAAATTTAAAAAAAAAATTGTGAAAAAAATGCTTTTATGCCAAGAAATGTGTTTAAAACACTATATAGCTAAATAAAATAAAAATTATGTACAATGTCGGTATCCAAGTTTCAATTTTACCTTCAAAATTTTAATTTTGAAGGTAAAATTCAATTCATCCCTCAAAAAATCTTTTTTCCTTTTAACGTTCCCAGATTTTTGTGTTCGGGGGACCTATGGTTAGTTAGTTTTTGTGAGTATATCTTTTAGCTTCAAATAGCCGAGACACCGACATGTACATATCACATCTTTTAACACTTTTTAGTTTTGATGAGGGTATTTATCTAAAATCTAAGAGGAATGGTTTACTTGGAGACCCAAATCAGTGATGTGCGCGTAAAAATTTTCAAAACTCAAGACCAAAAAAAAAACTCCAGGAAAAGTTTCAAGTCCAAAAAAATCCTGGACGTCCTGGACACTTCAGGGGCCTATGCAAATCAGATCATATCTCAGATATGACGTGTCATATTTGTGACTAGAGTCCGACATTTGGTCAATGATGGTCAGTTAGTGGGTTAAATGTCGGACTCTAGTCACAAATATGACACGTCATATCTGAGATATGATCTAATTTGCAGAGGCCCCAGGGGACTAAGTCTTGGACATCTCTACGAAATACTCTCTGGAAACTAAATATTAGTAATGTTTCTAATTACGTGTTCTAAACGACAAAATATCACATTTGTTACAGTATTCTTTAGAAAATATTTTTGACTACCGTAAATTCTCTAAAATAGCCCCCCCTTTTGAAATAAGCCCTCTCTAGAGGTCGATCGAAAAAAAGCCCCGTGGATTATTTTAGAGGATTTACGGTATTTTAGTTTCCAGAGGGCATTTTTTCAGTTCCCACCCAAAAATAAATATAAAAAAATGAAAAATAGAGCCCAATTTTACGTTAAATAAAATAATCTTCTTTAGTCTTTTCGGTTTTCCCTTTTTCAATTCTCATCCAAAATTTTTTAAAAAAAAATTCATTTTCTTCCAAGGCGAATTACTTTCTCTTCACTACTGCCACTTGACTTGCTTTTAAGTTTACCCATCAATTTACTAAAGCCTTTTCCCAATTTAGCTATCCCTTTACCCAACTTCTTCTTCCTTTTAGTAGATTCATGCATCGGCATATAACTCGAAGTTGCTGGTGTTTCTGGTGTAAAGTATGGGGTTACATTTCCAGTAGTCTCTTCTTCTATATGCCCTTTTAAAGCTTCAATCATTGCTTCAGCATGTATCTTGTTGTAGACTGGTGTAACCGTAGCTTTCTATGAATGGAATAATTTAAATAAAATTATCGAAGGAACATTTTTTTGATTTTTCCTATAAGCCAAAAAATTGATTTACCTCAGTAAAACAAGCATAAAGGCGAGGGGCATCCGTGTGGAATTTTGTCGCGAAACGGGACCCCACATTGTATGGAGGGATTCCACAGCAGGGATGAGCGCAAGAGACAATCTCAAAAAATCAAAACGCAACGCAAGGCCAAAATTTAACACAAATAACGCAAAACGCAATGCGCTCACCCCTGTTCCACAGGATAGAGACGGGGGTTGAGCGAGGATCCCACAGGGGAGTCACTCACGATATTTTTATATTTTGGGATTAACTCAGCATGATCCTTCCCGTTATGGGTCTTCATTTGGTGTATATCTATATCAGATATTGGATATCAGATTTGAAGTTTGTTTTGAGAAGAACAATCGATATCTCAATAAACGAGCTTTTTGAACCCTTGTTTAATCTCCATGTTTAGCAGAGCTTAGCGATTTTTTGATAGAAAAATTTTAATTTACTTCAAATAGCTTTTTTGCATCCTCATCGTTGACCATTTTTCTGAGCTTCATAAAATATTTTTGACAAAGTTTTTTTACTTTTACAACACTTGTTTTCTGTTTGAAATAATGCTTTATTCCAAAACATATTTTAACGATATCAGATACAAAGCTCGCATATCTATTAAGGTTTTCCTTGTCCCCTTGTGTAATCAATGCTCCCATAGATTCTCTATTTTCTTTAAAATATTTAATTTTATTCTTCATCAACTCAAACAGTTCATCATCTCCTTCTTGAGGTTCCCCATATACAATTTCCTCATGATTACTTAAATATTCAATCATTGCGTTAACAGTATCATCTTCATAAACTACGGGTTTCTATAATTATTAGAATAATTAAAAACACCTGAAGCAAACTTGAAAATTTTTACTTATAGGACCCATGCTCCTTTTCGAACGATATGTCGTTCAAAAAAGCTTGCTGAACTGAATGAACAACTGTCCCCGGTAGGTAGGGTTGGGGGTTTTGAGTTGGGCCGACGTTCGAGTCTTTTTTTCCAAAATTCAAGGCCAGGTTCGATCTTTCGAACCGAACCGGTAGGGATAAATATAACCCTACTATAAATGTAACCCTACCGGTAGGGATCAGGGCTGGGCGAAATCTAAAAATAAAAAGCGAAACTTTTCGGAATGCGGAATGCGAAACTTTTCGCGCTAAGAAAAGTGAAAAATGCGAAACGCGAAATGTGAAATTAGCCCAGCCCTGTTAGGGATTGTCCTCATTCCTAGAGGACAACTTATGGACCACCCACGTTCCCATAATAAAGAACACCGCAACCCCGTCCCCATAAAATCAGCCACCTCCTGAGAGATATATTCGAACTCGTGTTCTTTTTCAATTACTTTTTTGAATTTTTTACAAAGTTTTTCAGTTGATTTTTTTGATTTTTGTTTTTTGAAATAATGATTTTTATGGATACAAATTTTGTAGATATTATATGCCATTAATAAATCATTTTGAATGGGTTCATGATTCTTATAACGTAAATTCTCTAACAAAATATTTTTTATTTTAAAAAAATATTCAATTTTCATCTCCAACAACTCAGACAGTACTTCCTCCAAATCTCTGTCTTCTGAAAAATTTAAATTTTTAAATTTTAAGGAGACCTAAAAGAATTAATATATTGGGGGGAATTCGGAATCAAATTTAGACTGTTTCCAAAGTTTTAGGTTATATTCTGACCTTCATTCGCAGGAATAAGGTGATAATATTAACCGGGCCTAATAATTACATAGAGATTTAATTTTTAGCAAACGCATCTTTTTTGTAAGCTTGGCATAATGTATAATTAGTAGTGGTGGAGGTTTCGAATCGAGCCTTCGAGTCAATTTTTCGGGTCTTGTTGGTTCGAGTCATTTTGTCGGGCCAAAATTTGATGCCCGAATCGATCTTTTGAACCGAACCGGGCCCCCAACCCGAAATAATTAGTGATGTCGTTTTCGAGTCAGATAGATGGTCGAGGCATTTTTATTTTTTTGGGTCTTGTATTTATCTAATCGGTCTGTTCGAGCCACTTTCGGCTCAAATATCCTAGGCCCGACTCGATCTTTCGGTCCGAGCCTGTCCATTTTGGCAACCTTACTATGGAAGGTTCGATTGTACGTGAAAACGCATTTCCTACAACATTTCTCAGATTATGGGGCATCTTGTCAAAATCAGTCGGGAACATATGGTTTTACGACCTGTAACAGGACCAGAATTTACCGAGACCTTATCTCGGTAAACCTTATCTACTCAATCTACTTATTGAGTAGATAAGGTATATCCTTAAAATTCTCATTAAACTTTCATGCCAAAAATTTGTTTTTTTTGGCTAACCTTCCTCAGTTACTCCTTCTGATATTTGAAAATAGCCGAGTAAATTTGTATTCTCATCATCTCCTTCCTCTCCTTGTTCTTCTTCTATTTCACGATACCCACCAGAACCTCCTGACCCATTACATTTAATCACCAAAAATAATATAAAAATTAATATTTTGACCAATTTAGATCGAAATTTTGAACGCATATTTTAGCGCTTTTCGTCGCTTTTTAAGCTCCAAACTTAGCTAAATTAAATATTTTAAATTATTAAAAAAATTTTTTTTTGAAAATTGATTTAATAATTAATTAAAATGGTATTGAGAGGGGTAGTAGATTATAATTTTAAATGGGCTGTCGCCGACTCTCTCCCTCTCCTGTCAGGGGCGTGGAATCGATAATAAAATTTTTTTTCTGGTAAGCAAACAAGACAGCTGCCTGACAAGGCACTTGATTCTCTCTTCTGTCAGTCTCTCTCTTTCTCCTGTCAGGGGATGGAATCGATAAAATTTATTTAAAGACCTCTGGCAATAGCCTTCACTATCCCTATTAAGCAAACAAGACACCTGCCTGACAAGGCACGGCTCCCATACAAAATACCGAATTCTTAAAATATGGAATCTCAAAATCGCGAATCGGCTAAAAAAGCTCAAAATATGGAATCTCAAAATATCGAATCTCAAAATATGGAATAGGCAAAAAAAGCTCAAAATATCGAAAAATATCGACAATGCGGCAAAGGCCAGTTGAGTCTGAACAAAGTTGTGACCAACTTCTTCGTAAAAAAATTTTAAAAATAAGAGAAAGTATTTTTCTAAGGTAAAAAAATGTGCTGATTACGAATCTCAGCTCGGATTTTGAAAAAGTCGAATCCCGGACCCGAACCGAATTTCGAATCCCGAACCGAATTTCGAGTTTCCGAATGATAGCTCATCTGAAAGAGCACGTCGAGCTGCATCGAATGATACCAAAATCAATGAAATCCGACCTGCTTGGACTGAGTTACAGATCCCTGAATAATCAGAAAAAGACCTGCAGCGGCACTCAAACGGCCCTTTTCGTTTTTAAAAAATTCGACATTTTTAACTACTTTTTAGCCGATTCGGTATTTTGAGCTTTTTTGGCCGATTCGCGATTTTGAGATTCGATATTTTAAGATTCCATATTTTGAGCTTTTTTGGCCGATTCCATATTTTGAGATATTTTTACCGATTCGCGATTTTGAGCTTTTTTAGCCTATTCGCGATTTTGAGAATTCGGTATTTTGTGCGGGCACGACAAGGCACTTATTCTCTCCTTCTCCTGTCGTCGACTCTCTCTCCCTCCCCTGTTAGGGGATTGAATCGATAAAATTTTAAAGACCTTCGACAATAGCCTTCACTATCCCTATTAGGCAAACAAGACAGCTGCCTGACAAGGCACTTGATTGATTTGACTCTCAATTTTTGGTTTCTTCGCTTCTCTCATTCCTCTCTCCCTCTTACTTGACAGCTTGACAGACTCACAGCAGACTAGCGCAGGCAAAAGAGAGGATGTTTCCTCCCATGTTTCTTTGTTTCATAATCTTATGTTTCAGCAAAGGTTTAGAATAAATATACAAATATTTTTAAATATTTTTAAATTTACTTTTCGGGTAATATTGTTTAAAAATTCGTTAAAAAAATCCGTGTCAACTTCCCAAAATTAGAGCTGCTAAAAACACAAAATTTTCAAGGCTCTAAAAAGCTCTCTAAAAAGTCCAGAGCTGCGTCGAAATAAAAAAATCTTCGAAAATCAGAAATCGAAATTTCGATGCAGCTCTGGTCCCAAGCCCAGACTAAAAACAAGTCTTGGACAGCTCTACAAAATACTCTCTGGAAACTATTAGTCATGCTTCTAAGTGTTCTAAAGTCGAGAGGCTCTTAATAAACGACAAAATATCACATTTGTTACAGTATTTGTTTGGAAAATATTTTTGACTATTTTAGTTCCCTGAGGGTATTTTTTCAGTTCCCACCCAAAAATAAAAATAAAAAAATGAAAAATAGGGGCCAATGTTACGTTAAATAAAATAATCTTTTTTTAGTCTTTTTTCTCTTCTCATCAAAAATTTTTTTAAAAAAATTCATTTTCTCCCAAAATTTTCTTCCAATATGCAGAATTCTCCTTCCTTCCACCACCACTAGTGGTTACTTGAAGACCCTTTCTTCTTACCAAACCAACTCATTATGCCTTTACTTTTTTTCTTTTCTTGATGTTGTTCACCCATTGGAATAACTACGGTTGCAGATGTTGTTGGTGTGAACGGGCTAACATAATTTTCCCCAGAAGTTTCTTCTTCTATATGACTTTCTAACTCATTAATCATTGCTTCAACATCCTTCTTCCTGTACCTGGTAGTAATTTCAGGTGTCTATAATTGGAACATTGAAAGAAACATTTTTTGATTTCTCCTATACATAGGTCCATAGTCAAATTATGCCCTCAATAATTGGTTTACCCAACAAACCTTAACAAAGGAGAGTGCCTGGGGTGTCCGCGGGACTTCGGATGAAATTTGTTGGACAGGTAGAACATACCCTACTTTACCCTAAAATTTAGG